ACACAAAATTTTTTTTATTAAAACTAGGCTTTTAAGGCGCTTAGCGCTCATCTTCTATTTTAATTGTGAACATGTGAATTGATAAATTGTAAACAAAACCAAAAAAAGTTTGCGAATTTTATAAAAAAAAAACATTCGTGGAGGCAAATTTTTGAAATTTTTTTCATCTATAACCTTCCCTTCGGTCAAATAAGATCCCACACTTGGGCCCGATCTGTTAAGCCGTTTTGACAGACAGATAAACAAACAGACAATCATAGAAGTTGCAGAAATGGTCGTTTTTTAGTCTGTAATTCTGATAATATTTTCTTGCCATAGAAATGCACAAGTCACCTTTGTAAAGAAACCATAATTGAAAATGATAAGTTTTCAAAATTATAAACAAGGATATCTTATTTTTAACTTTATCAGATATAGCTTTTAAGAGTAGCGTTGAAATTATGCTGTAAGTGTTAAAATTAAAAATGTATAGTTATCAATTTTAAAACTAGTCTTCACAAAAACCAATATGGAAGATTGCGTATTTAAAACAAGAAATATTATGTTTCTAGACTAGTTCAAGATCCAAATAAAGGTCATTGCGTCAAAGCACATTCATTTTTAAAAGTATAGAAAATAACATGAGGACATTGAACATAAGAATTTTTTGACAATGTTAAAAAAATGTTTTTTTCCCCTAAACATTGAGACATTTGATATTAATTGGTGTAAAGCAGTTGCTAAAAAATGAACCTATTGAAAGAAATGGGTCTGAGTACACTGCACAATTGTTGTGTTTTATATTCATTGGACTATTTAAAATCGTAATTTGAGTCCGACAGTTGAGTTGCTGTTTAATAGTTTTTTTAGGGGTCTTACTGTTTTGTTTTTTAGAATAATTTGCTAGTTTATTAGAAAGCCTGATTTTTTACCAACAAGACGATTTTTTAACAACTTTGATAAAATATAGAAAAAAAATACTTTTCTTTTAAAGAAAAAACACCGCTAAAATTAGATTAATCTTTTTTTTATTTTGAAGTTTGTCTGAACAGGTCGGAGGATTTTTCTCATACTCGAAATCAATCTTTGATGGATAGAACCCAGTCTATGAACGAGAGACGAGCAGAAGAAACACCCAAATTGGATTCAGAGAAAAGACAAGTCCTCTAAACACATTTATTCATGCTGTCTCTCTTTCTCTATTACTCTAATATTTCGTTTTTTTCTGTGTTTTTTTTTGTAAAAAATATAGTATTTTAAGCAATTTTAACTGAAAAGTTTCACTTGAAATAATGTTTTCTTTCTTTGCAGATGCTACTAAACTCTCTTTTTTCCCTCCTAAATGGCCTGGCAATGAATCACCCAATTCCCTGAATACTGGTTACAGATACATGATATTCTTGGAATTTACACTAGTTAAAGTTGAATGAACGCGAGGGCGGGATAAATTAGCTGCCAATTGAACATGAAAATATTTATATATAAAAGCAATTTTAAACAATTTTTCGAAATGTTGCCTATATAAAATAAAAAGTTATTTTTGTGAATTAATCGTTGATTTTGATTTGCGGATTACAAAGGTTTGCCAATTTATGTACTTTTTGGTTACATTTTGGTAGATTATTCACCATTTTAATTATTATCATAATTAAGCAGTAATCTCCGGGAAATTCAAAAATGAACTTTAAAATTAAAGCTTTTATACTAATTGAACATATAATCAAGCTGAAAGGACTTGCAAAAAAAACTAGATTGTGTAAGGGGGAAGGACGTCAAAATACTTTAAGATTGATGACTGAAATAATGAAAGAAAATCGAAACTGAGAAAGCTTTTAAAAATCTTGTCATACCTTTTAAAACAAATAAAATTTTAATAAGTAAAGTATTTTCATTATTTTTGAAGAACTATCGAGAAGAATAAAAAAGTCTATAATTTCTATATTGGATGCTATATTTTGTTTTGTTCATTAGGCGAAAAATCAAAATTACAGGAGCTACGAGGTCATAAAGTCGTCTTGATAATTTTGCATTAATTCGACATTTCCTTAAGTCTAAATTTGCTTTAAAAACCTAAAATTAAAAAGGCTTGAAAATTTACGTAAAAGGTAAACAATCATGGACAATACACTATTTTTTAAACTGAAAAATGAGAATATAATTGGAAACCCACATGTGCTGTTCCCTCTGAATCAAAACTGGATTTATACAAATATACAAATATAATTATGTAAATAGAAAATTATAAAAAGTAACTGTTGTATTTATGTAATTCTTAGTGTCAGTACATTTCATATTTAATGTCGTACAATCGTATTTATACTGATTTAAATATTTATCTATATACTGTGTATATGCTAAATAAAACTGAATATTGGAATTCTTGTTTTTATTTTTCATAAAACACGTCACTTTTACTATTTTGCATAGAGTTTACGTTCAGTCAAAGCTTGTTCAATGAATTAAACTATTCTAATGTTGTTCAATGAAACAAATTATTGAAATGTTGTTCAATGAATTGGATTAATGGAGAATATATTTCAGTTCAATGTTGCTAATGAATCAAACTATTGTAATGTTGTTCAATGAATCGGACCAATGGTGAATATATTTCATTCTAAGCTTGCTAATGGATCGGAATGAATGCAGCCAGATAAAAGTCAAAGATTACTAAATACTAATAAAATAGTACAAATACAAACTCTGGTAGAAAGTATTTGTATTTTTTTTATAGGTAAAGGTGGGGCCTCATCAAGTCAATGGATCGGACATTTTGCTATGTAACTTAGTTTGAAGTGTTTATTTAGGAAACAAGGTTAAGGTTTTCTTTTAAAATCCTTGAAATTTATGTATGGCGACTGGCGAGTTTGGAGTTTTCCTTTTCATTTGTTTCTAATCTAAATAAATATATATTTACAGATGTCATACATTTGCCTGTGCATGTTAGAAACTAATTTCATCAGCACAATAACAAAGCTTAAATTAGTTCAGTCCGACATCCCATTAAAGGGACAGTAAGCTTAATTTCAATCTCCATGCAAAGATGGCTATAGCCGTTACAACGGTACCCTTAAAAACTTTGACTGATACAAGTTGTCCGACTTAATCTCATAAATCTACAAAAACGCATTTGAAAACTTTGCTTGCAAGCTTTTTAAAGTTTTGGAAATATTAACGTTCATATTCTAGAATGAGCAAAAACCAAACATCAAGCTGACACAAATAACGCTGTAGCAGCGCGGCGTTCAGGAGTTCAAGAGGGTTTCAACAGATTTAAACACAGATATCACTTTAATCGATGAACAGGCAAAGGTTATGATTCAGGCATTGCCCTCTTTGCATGGAGAGTCACTATTGAAATTACGCTTATAGACCCTTTAAAGTGTACAGAAACCCCGTAGCTTTAGTATACCTACCTGGAATATTTAGAAAATGCATATTCAAATATGGAGTCTATATATCCATGCACAATAATATTAACTGAATAATTTCTTAATATAAACCCAACACAACAATACCAGAACTAAATACACAAAACAAAATATAAAATCAATTAAATCGGATTTGATCCCCTCCTTGAAAGGAAACATTGCAATATAAATTGGACTGAAAGGGGAGGCCCGGGAGGGGCCTCATTGGCCATTTGATTTAACCATGAAAAATGCTTATTTAAACCAGCCTGAATTATAAGTGTCACCAGGCCATGAACGCTGGTCTCAACTTGCCAATGCCAACTTGTTTGTATTACTTTTATATAATATTTAGCAAAATCAAAATATATTTTCTGTCAGATTATTCGTTAGAGGTGATTGAGCCCGTACGCTAAACGCACTTTATTTCATTAATGACGCTTTTAAATCGTCATAAATTTAAAGTTTCTGTTTTTATGGCCGAACATCCTAAAGTGTAATATTTAAATAATCAATTATAAATTGTTGCATTATTTTAAAAATATCAGCTAGAAACTTTTAAATGTCTGAAATAAGTTAACGACCTCATTCTCACATTGCAAAACTGGTTCTTTATTTGTTAAATAAGAAATCAAACCAGTTCAACCTACTCAATCACAAAAGGAGAGAATGAGCTCAACTAAAGCTCGAAATAAATTTATTAAATTTGAGCTAGGTCGCTTAACTACTGGGTCATTATTTTTTAACTCAGCCACCCCATGGAAGTCACCATATCAGATTCGGATGATATTAAAACCTCTAATTAATCTATGTAAAAGAAAAAGAAAAACATTGAAAAACACTTTTCTTTCTCGAAACCTTGATAGATTCCGCAGGTTTGATTATTTTTGACTTCAACACAAGGTGATCTTTTGCAATTGCTACTTTGCAGCAACAATACACAAAGTAAACTCTTTTCATTATCATTGCTGACTATTCAATAAACCTTCACACAAAAAGTTACAAAAATTTAAGTTAAACTACCTTTTTCTTTAAACCGAGGTGGATGTTTTATTTTCTATTTTTAAAAGATAAATATTAAGAGTGATGCAAGTTGAGTAAATTTTATCAAAAATCAAGGATCATTTCCATAATTGCTTTATTTATGGCTGCCTTGAACAAGAATGACCCAAAACCGCATATTTAACTTTTTACATTAAAACTCCAAAAAATCCTAAAAATCCTAAATTCCCGATTTAAAATAGGTGGTTGAACCGTCTCTCGAGTCTATTTTATTTCTTTTCCTTTTTTCATTTCTTCTTCTTTCTTTTCAAATCACAAACCAACGCTAAAATTACTTTATAATAGTTCTATCCAAAATTGTATCTAATCTAAACCCAGCTCAAATTCATTAAATTCGTCCCGCCCCCAATTAGAGTTATCGGGTAAAATTTTAGAAAAAATGTTCAGTAAATGTAATATTTATTAATGTTGAACAAATAACAACAATATAAAGGTTTGTTTAGATAATAATAATAATTGAGAGAAGAATAATAATAATTTAAAGATAATTAATTCAATTAGAACAATAATAATTCTAAGAAATATTATTATGAGATCATATCTGAACACGTATTTGTACTCTAGTACATATGTAATATATTTTTTAATCTATTAATTACTGTGAATTAAGTGTTGGCTGTTTTTATACAAAATCTAGGTGTAAAATTCACACAATAAAAGTCTTTAGAAATACAGAAACCATGAAAAAGGAACTTTACATAATAAAAATCTACATTTTTTAACACATAATTAAATAAATCAAGAAAAAAAGATTTTTTTTAAAGTTTATAATTATATTATTCTTTTAGGTGCAGTGCCGTTAAAAGTATTCAAAAGTAAACCGAATCTTTGATGCTTGTTTTGCGATTGATATTTTAAGTCACTGATAACAAGGAAGAGTAGACATAAATGTAGAACTATAGATTCAGTGAAAGGAAATGTAGGAAAAAAATGTCAAATGCAAGCTTTTATATGAAAAGGGGGTGGGGCGGGAATTCGTCCCCTCTAATTGCATTTAAGCTGTTATTGGTCTTAATGGAGAGTGTGTAAGACAGAGATTATTATGGGCGCGGCCTGCAATATAAAGGTAAAGAAAAGTGAATTAAAGAAATTAATCTAGTTTTTGCCAAAATTCAATATTTTGCAACCCTATGTCATAGATTATAAACATTTTAAACTATGAAATCTGTTAAATCAATTCTTAGTTAGAAAAAGCAAAGATAAAGGGGTTAAACATTTTTATTTTGTGGCAAAAACTCAGTTCTTTTCTTGAAATAGTTAAATGACAGGTTTAAGTCGTCTTTGTTCTAAGCGACATGTTGATTTAATGAATTGGTTACATTTTTAACAAAAGGGAGAGCATTAAAAACTTTTATCCATTTTACAGAAGCATGACTATCAACAAGTTTAATCAACTTCATATATTGAACTTCTAAAAATATATTTATAAGTTCAACTAAAAGCACAATGATATTAATTTTGCCGCAATAAAATATTATTAAATCATGTGTCGTCTTCATTTAGATATGAAAGAATTTTACCAGGAAAATGTGTGAAGCTTAAGACTGAAAGATAGTTTTTTATCCAACTGTTAAATTTAGAAATCATGTAATATGGGATACTGGTACAATTCTCCATCACAAAAAACTCAATTTCTTCTGCAGCAAAAACAAGGTGCAAATATCTGCTTAAATTTTGAACTAAAAAAACTAAAAGATCTAGAAAAAGCTTCCGAAAGCTTTTCCTGCAAATCCTCCAATTCCTTTTGTTAACATCTTGCTGGCCTGGGCTACTCCCTCCTTACCCATATCTGCCACCTAAACACAAGATAATACAAGAAGTATACTAAAATTATAATTAACTGTATCCAAATTATAAAATTAAGAATTAATTAAAAATAATGAATTGTAAAAACACAAGATAACATTTTCTGTCGTTTCTCAATATTTTATCAGTTGTGTAATTAATCAGAATATTTGAATTCATTTTATTCCACAGAATCAACGAATTAGATCAATATAGTATCTTTAATTAGTTCATCATCTTCTCTTTCCTGTTTCCTTTATCGATATACGAGAATATTCCTTTATATATAGTGTAGTCATCTCTGTTTGAATGTTCCCCATCATACGTCATAAACCCCTAGACCAATTTGTCTCAAATGTTGATTATGAACTCGGTAGAACCACGGGAATGATTTTAGTTTTATTTAAAAATTCTAAACTGAGCGAGTTTACTTTTATACAGTGAAACCCTTAATAACGAATACATCGAAAGAATTCATCAAATGTCGTATTCTTCACTTTCTGATAATGGAATGTTGCAGATATTTAGTTTTTTAATTAAATGATTATATGGAACTCTTTAAAACTGTCCCCGCATATTCATGGATATTTATTTATTTTCGCAAACACTGAAATTTAGGTAATATAGTATAAAACTCATTGAAAAATTGTCAAGACGACATTTGATAAATTCTTCCGATGTATTCGTTATTAAGGGTTTCACTGTAGGGAAAGTTTAGTTTCCAGGCAATGCTGGGTTCCCAAGCTAGTTTCGATTTTAATTTTTTCCCTCACCTTATCAACTCCTCCTGTAGAAAGGGCATCTTTAACAGCTCCTGCCGCTGCCAGGGGGTTCTTTATATCATCACCAACATCATAATCACTAGAAAAAGAAAAAATTAGAATCTTGCATAAATATCTTATACCATTATTCGAAAAACAAATTTGTTCAAAATAAAAATTAGATATGAATTGCTACAAAGAAACTGAGTTTTAGTCACAGTTTAATTTTTTTCTAATGCCTATAATTTTTCAACCTGATGATGCATAGCTTTGAGTTTTCAAGCTTAGGTTATATTTGATCTAATAGAACACAAAGGTCTACAAACTCAAGGTTGATACAAATCTGAGTTTGTTGCGAAAAATCAGTTCCTTTTAGGGAAAAGTTTAAATATGGAAAAATATATATATGTATCAATAATTTAAAAAAATGGCCTTATTTTTTCGATTGTAATTGAATCAGAGAAATCTAACTTTAGACCTCTTATAAAAACGATTAATTTACTTCATAGACCTACAGATATTTTAAAGTGGTCTGCACTTTAAAATATTGCTAAAACTTTCTATTAATCTCTAGTCGAGCAAATATTTGACGGACTTTTAACAAGCACAAAACTAGTCGTAATAAGTGTTTTTTTATTTTTTTTATGATAATTATTTTTCAGACGTACAGCATACAAGTGAAGGTCAATCTGAATCACTTCAAGGGGATTTTTGCTTAAACTCATGCAAGAAAACTATTTTTATATGTTTTAGTAATTGTTTTAGTAATGCTATGGTTGGCCAAACGTTCGATTTCTTAAAGTATTTTTAAAATTCCACGGTCAACGCCGGGCATTAATAAATGTAGCGAAAAAATTAGCAGTTAAAATTCAGTCAATTCCTAAAATTACGGAAATGAAGGCATCTTAAAGAAAATCTACAGTGATAATCAGAAAACTCTGGAATAGGAAGTCAACTTTAAGGCCCTATTCATGACTTTGATTAGTCCATTTCACATGAGGCAATTGTAAACATACCCATCTAACTTAATAAGTGATTTAATAACTTACTAGTTAAACTATTTGCTTTGTAACAACAACAAATGTTCTTCTGTTTTGTCTTAATGTCGTTTTCCTATATTGCAGTTTTCTGGTTATCACTGTACAATAATTTAATGACTTATATCCCCACTTTTTAGAAAAAAGGTAAAAATTATCAGTTTTGGTCCCTGTAAGAAACCATATTGGTTTAGAAGAATTATATTATAAAGAGAAACTGATCACTCTCCACATACTCTAATTTTCTAATCATTATTAGAGATTGAGGCGAGTGCTCAGTTTTTAAAAATAAAATCAAAGTTAGTCTACAAAAGCAGTTCTGTAAACACTGCAAAAAGTTAAAAAAGCATATTTTAAGAAGTAAAAAGTTTACCTGAAATAAAAAACTTTAAATAAAAAATTACGAAAGAAAACTGAAAAATAGCTTTATTGAATTAAAGAACAAAAGTTTGTATCAAGATGTTGCAATTTTCTTCAAGATACAAAACTTATATTTCTAAAAATGTACTAAATAACGATTAAACTAAACATTTTTAAACTGAACTAATATGAAGAAAATAGAATCTGTCTAAAAAAAGAATTTGAAAAAAAAACTGTTTACACCTTTTAAGCAAGTCATCCTCTAGACTTATCTGAATCCAAATAGATTATCAAGTACAATAGGTGGCAACAGAGAAATGGACCAATTATACATGACGTCACAAGTGTCAAATATAACAAGGAAGGCAACATTTTCTCCCATTCCTTGACATATTTTCCAGGATTAAATCAAAAAGTGTAAAAACAGAAAATAAAGAACACTTGCACTTATTTCACTGTAAGATAAGCACTTTATTTTCATTATTATTAATAGTTTTGTCGGACACATAAAAATGTTGACACTTGTGACGTAAGAATACTGCTGTACTGAGATTGTACAAATTCTACGTTGCCATCTATTGTACTTAACAGTCTACATATTTGCTGACGCCAAAGTATATGTTTTAAAAATATAACTTAACTTTGTTGGGTTTGACATTATCTATGTTTTTTTTAAATTAGTTTTGGTTGAATACAGATCTAAAATTATTAATTTGAAATTTTTATCTGAATTTAAATATGATCAATTTTCAACGTTTACCTTTCAGGCTTTCATTCTCTATGTCAATCTATTTTCCCACACATAAACAAATTTTATCTGCCTGATTCCCGGGTCAAATTGGTCAAAATACTTAAAATCCTTTCCACACATTGAAAAACTTAATTTAATTTTTCACAAAATGTTAATTTTTTTCTCTCTAGCGCTAAAAATATATCTGAACTAAGAGTAAGCACAAACCAGTAATAGAACTACTGCTGAAATAATACTAATTAACAAAAATATTTTATCAAAATACTTTATGTCGAACACTCTCGTCTTTCTGTGGTGTTCAACAACTAATTCAAACCTCTCATCGTTGGCTTTCACTTTCTCCTTGGCTTTCTCTTTGGCCTTCTCTTTCGGCTTAGGTTTTCCTTTCTTTGGTTTCTCGTCTTCAGAATCTATTTCTGTATCCGATGAATCTTGTCTGGTTGGAGGGGGAGGTTTACTCGTCTGACGCGCCATTTTTGGATCATCTTTGCTCTCATCTTTTTTCATCGACTTTGTCTTCTTCACACTTTTTCGTCTTTTTTCATCGTCCGAATCGTCGCTGGGCATTGATGAACAAGGTTAAAAAATGTTTAACATATATTTTTTGGTTAAATATCTTTAAGAACCCAGAGAATTTTTGACCCATTCAAAAATCTGAATAAGATTCATTAATTTTTAAAGAACAAATTTAAAATGTTACCCATTCTCATTGTTTTCCGCATGAGTTAGCTGACAAGTAGCTTCCTCAGTACACATTCTTTGCTCGATGGCCTGAAAGATTTAATTTATGTGATCAGAAAAGAGGCCTTGAATTACACTCTAAGAAATGTCAAAATTAGCTTGACCACCAGAGCCAAATTCAACTTAGTAGCATTTTTGTTCAAATTTTGTTAAATGAAAATTATCGTTTATTAAATTTGAAGACTTGTGAAGTTTTGCCAAAAAGTTTTGATAGTGAAAATTTCTTCGAATGTATAAACTTAGCCAATCAGAGCTGAAAACTTCAGAATCCTTAATCCCGATTACTTAATCTAAGCATCGATAATGGACACACTTTTGATTTTCTTCTTAAACCGCTTTCTTGTTTGGACATAGAAGAGAAAAATCAAAACCCGGTTTTTTTTAATTAGAGAGTTTCTTCCGTGTAGTATATAATCTTAATGGCGCGCAAAATTTCAAATTTATCGGTTTCATATACACTGATTAGTCGAATTTTATACACTTTTCAGGATACAAGTACAAGATTAGGCTAGCCTCGATTAAGAAAAAAAAGAGGATCAAGCATTAATCTCAATATCCACCATTCTAAAGTTTTCAGCTCTGATCATTTATGAAATTATCATGAGTTTTGGTTTAAATTGTTTAGTATTTGGACATATTATTTGAAATATGTTTACCTGATATTGGCCACATTGCAGTTTATCCTCTTCTAACCCTTGTAGTTCATATTCAGTATATATCTTCTGTAAGAAAATATAAAGGATAAATGTATTCTTATAAGTTTTCAAAATTATTCCTGATACTATTAAAAAGTTGGAGGGAATAATTAAATTTACTTCTTCAAAAAATATCATGCATTCAATATCAAAATAAAGTGTTGTCTGATAAAATAAATTTCCAAAGGATTACACTATGGATAAATAACATTATGAAATACAGATAATAGTTAAATAAAAAACACAACATATGAAAGACAACAAAATGCACTTGAAACAAGCATTAAGCAACAAGCATGCGAAACTAAAATATAATTGAATAACTAAGGTACGAATTTATAAAGTTAAAAAAATGCATCATAACTAAAACAAATATAATTTTTACTTTTAGTTTTGTACTGTACTTCAGGTTTTCCAGGTCAACTACCGGTGTACCGTACTGGAGGTTGACTAGATCAACTACTGTTGTACTGTACTACAGGTAAACCCAGTCAGCTACTGGTGTACTGTACTGCATGTTAACCAGGTCAGCTACTGGTGTACTGTACTGCAGGTTGACCAGGTCAACTACTAGTGCACCGTACTGCAGGTTGACTAGATCAACTACTGGTGTACTGTCCTGCAGGTTAACCCGGTCAGCTACTGGTGTACTGTACTGAAGGTTAGCCAGGTCAACTACCGGTGCACTGTACTGCAGGTTGACTAGATCAACTAAAGGTGTACTGTACTGCATGTTAACCAGGTCAGCTACTGGTGTACTGTGCTGCAGGTTGGCCAGGTCAACTACTGGTGTACTGTACTGCTAGTTGACCAGATTAACTACCGGTATACTGTACTGCAGTTTGACTAGATCAACTACCGATGTACTGTACTGCTGGTTGACCAGATTAACTACTGGTGTACTGTACTGCAGATTGACATGGTCAACTACTGGTGTACTGTACTGCAGGTTGACCTGCACTGACTTGTGTTCTGTACTCTAAGGTGACCCTCTCAGCTATACCCAGGTATAGGTTGGATTCAACAAGCGGAGTTTCAACACCGGCCTTCTCACTTCCATATCTAATATGCTACAACCACAGATTTTACAGATCGGACAAGAAAGCAATTTCCGCAATTTTTTGGCCAGTAACTTTTGTACAATTTTTCCATAAGTAGACATTTGCAGACATTGGTTTTAGTTTTTTTATCAATTGGCGCGCCGGGACGCTAGGAAATGTTATTAAAGGTTATGATGCAAAAATTACCGACCTATACAAAAAACTACTGCTTGTCCTATATGTGCAATATGTGGCTAACACCATTTAGAAATAAATAACAGATTAGGAAGATAAAATGAATTTGTTTTTTTTCCGCACAATCATTACAGATATTGTAAAGTGTATATTTTTGCTATAGAGGGTTTCTAGTACAAAGCAACCTCCGCCAAATTAGCTAAACCATTCCCAACCTGTTTATTTATTTCTCAATGGCTAAAACTAAAAACATAAATATAAACATGCAACAAAATAACCCAAACTCAATTGTCTAGCAGTAACAAAGCAAGACAGAGGAAACGAACAGTTAAAGACTTGTTGATCTGTAGGTTGTTAATCTTTTTGTGCATGTTATTTAAATGTTGGTATGATCTTAATTTATTTAAGTATGCAGAATGCAGATGATACATGGTTACCCACGAAGAATGAAACTTTTGAGATGATTATAGAGATTTTTGTCCGTTAATATTTCTTAAAATATTAGAAATATTTGCATCAGTGTAACTCTTTCATTTCTTTTAGGTTTGGTTCAGGTTATAACAAAAAGAAAACTGTAAATCTTCAGAGCCCACGATTTAAAAAAATTCAGGAAAATACTGCTCTAGTCTAAGGTGTCGTTGGGCCTTATTTACGCCTAAATTTAAGATTCAGGCTGCATCTTATTTTCCACAGAGTTGAGTTCAAAAAACCGGTTTAATATTCTTTTTGGCGGATTTTCATGGTAGGAATAGGCGCTTTCCGGGTTTTATGAGAACAAGACTCAACATTGAGCCTTATTCTCCACTAAAACCAAGTTCGGTTTTATTTTCATCAGGCCTAACTCATTATGTCGAGACACAAGCTGTCGTCAGAGTTGGGTCGAAGATTGGGGTTAAGGAATTGCGGCTCGAGCAGAAAATTTTCAATCGCGGACTCAGGTAAAGGTGTTTTTAAATTTTATTGTGTCATTTAAGTCTAACTATCAGTGGATAACCTTGTATAATGCAAATACAGCCTCTAGCTTAAATTTAACAAATAAGACACTCATCACATAGAAAAAAATGTACTGAAAAGAAAATTAAGTCTTTGCAACATACTTTGATCTAACATAATTTATAGTTTTAAATATCAAAGTCCTCCGACATTGCGCTGAAAAGATCACGAGTTTGTGGCAAAGACTCAAATCCTTTTAAATGAGTGAATCTATAACTACTTATACTCTCTGATAATAAGCAATCTATGGGTAATGAACATGCATGTTTATGATTTCTAAACGTGTAAGCAATATAATATTTCAATAATAACTATTTATAACACTGTTATTTTGGTTCGCAGTGTTATAAAGTTTTTGGACAGAAATTTTCTCTTGATCGAGAATGTTCAAGGCGAAAACCTTCAAGATATAGAGATACTTAAGTCCAGAAACTTTATAGCACGTAGTGCCACAATAATAGTGTTATAGGTAATTTTATGAAACGTTTGTGTACTTGTCTTATTTCAATAGCTGTTTCTAGATCAAATAAGCTTTGAAACAAAGCAGAAGTCAAAATATAAAGTTAATTTCAATTTAATTTTCATTTCATTGAAAAAAAATATTTTGGAAATATCCAAAATTTTTGGAGAAAATCTGGGAACAAATCAAAACATTATAGCACTCGTGCTATAATGTACAGCTAATTTAGCTTTATAGCACGATGATTACTTTATAGCACGTTTATTATGAAATTCAAGATAAAGTGAGTAATAATGATAAAGTACACAATAGTTTCATAAAATCATCGTAAAGTTGATTTATTTTTAAAACATTTTTAAATTTTAAGATGCTCAAGTAATTAATCAACATGATGTATAGTTTGAATTTGAGTTAAAAAGTATTTTTTTGGAACTTTATGCTAAAGGTATCGGGAAATTGATATCAATCAGTCTAAGTTTTCAGATCTAAGGTTTAAGATGCAAAAATTATACAACATGAATTGAATACTTTTAACTAAGTTTAGATACTTAAATGTTTCAAGATTGGAATTTCTTTGTAAGGTCAGCAAATCAAATTTCCCATTTTGTTTAGGCATTGTGTTATATCTGAGCAAACATTTGCTTTAACATTTTACTGGTAGTTTACCAATTGTATATCCCAAGGACATTATGAAGGGCTTATTCTGTCTCGAAGGTGAAAACTTCTATTTATTAATTTGTAGAAATTAGCTAAATATAAGAACACAGAAGGGGGGGGGGTTTCAATGAGCATGCTTAAAACAAAACAAAAACAATTTTAGAAACAAAAAAGTTAGTTTACCTTTACAACGTGTGCAAGGCATGTACATTGGAAAGGATGAAGTGATTTGTCCAATCTTTCAGTTAACCATTTACTAAGCATTTCCACTTGGTCATTGTACCATTTCTAAACATTTAATCATTGTACCATTTCTAAACATTTAATCATTGAACCATTTCTAAACATTTAATCATTGACCATTTATAAACATTTATTATTGGTGGATCATTTATTAAGCACTTCCTCTTGGTCATTGTACCATTTCTAAACATTTAATCATTGTACCATTTCTAAACATTTAATCATTGTACCATTTCTAAACATTTAATCATTGTACCATTTCTAAACATTTAATCATTGAACCATTTCTAAACATTTAATCATTGAACCATTTCTAAACATTTAATCATTGAACCATTTCTAAACATTTAATCATTGAACCATTTCTAAACATTTAATCATTGAACCATTTCTAAACATTTAATCATTGTACCATTTCTAAACATTTAATCATTGAACCATTTCTGAACATTTAATCATTGTACCATTTCTAAACATTTAATCATTGTACCATTTCTAAACATTTAATCATTGAACCATTTACTAAGCATTTCCACTTGGTCATTGTACCATTTCTAAACATTTAATCATTGTACCATTTCTAAACATTTAATCATTGGGAAAATTTTGATTTTAGATTATTGATCATAGTACAGGGATACCCACAAAGAATGAGAGAATAGAAACGACGTGAAACTCTTAAAAAAATATGGCGATTTCAAGGTTGAATTAAGAATTCTATATTGAATTTAGATTTTCAATAGCTATTCTAATGATATGAAAAAAAGTGTCAAAAGTGGTAGGAAACCATAATTATAAGAAAACAGCGTCCAAATTTAATGAATTTAAACTGCGTCTCAAATCCCCCAAAAACCGGTTTTAATTGAGCGCCGGTTTTAAATATTGAAACATTGGATACAATTTTAAGTGGAAAGAACCATATTTGAGCCCCGGCTTAAATTAAAGCCGCGGCTCAAATTCTTTAAATTCGGCCTCAGATTGTAGAAATTGAGTAAAGTCGTCTCTGAAGTCTCATTCTTTGTGAATAACTCTGTACTAGACATGAGTAATTATGGTAAAATTAAAAATAATTAATTAACAGTTACCTCCATAACGTTGAGAACCCATAGATCGTCCGATATTCTTTTAGTAATAGTATCCATGTTAATTCTAGATATCAGAGCTGTGTTAATTCTACTTCACAGCATCAGTCAACATTACAAAAAAGCTTAAATGCTTGCAGTTAACAAAAATAAAATAAATTTTTCAAAGTTTATTGTAATCTTTCCTTGGAATTAAAATAATTTAGTGCACTTAAATGTCTATTTGAGTGCACTGTGCTCCTTCTAGCAATAAAAAGTAGTAATTGACATCGAAAAAAACTTAACAAAAATATTGTTGAGGGAGAAAATATTTGGTATAAATGAACTCAGCCTGCCTAACAAATGAGATATAACTCTTCCCTTGATCCACTCCTGTCCCAGTCACGTTGATTTTCTTGTTCTAAAAATAAAAAAAGGTTTGTCAATTTGATTCAAATAAACGCCGAAACCGGGACCGAATTTAATGAATTTGAGATAGGTCGTTGAACTGCCGCGCGCGTACCGGTTCAAATCTTAAATCAACGATTCAAAATTACAGATTCATAAGGATATGAATCGGTGATTCAGGATTTCAACCGTCGGCAGTAGTTAGTTCAAAGTCATATTCAATTCATTAAACGTTGGTCCCGACTGAACTTAAAAATGTCATCCAACCCTGCAGATGGTTTATGAATGTCAGAATTCAAAATGTTCCCGCTTTCTTCTTTTATTTTGAAAAGTATTTTTCCTCGTAAACACACACACAAAATAACATTATTATAAACCAGTTTCTTCAAATAAAAAACCAGAATTTTGACTTAATATGTATAACGGAAAAAAGTCAGGATCAAAGAGAAAGTGATTTTTATTTTGAAAAATCTTTTTCTTCATTTGGTCGCAGTCTACTATGCAAAACTTACAGCAAAGCTAAGAAATGATCCCATCATGCTTCCCTCGTCGTAGGCGGCCAACTTGGATAAGGTTTTATCTAAATAATAAAAATTATATCTTTTAATATTTATATTCTAATTTTAACCAAATCAATTAGATTTCTTATCAATGGATTTGGGATTTATTAAGATTACTGATCCATTTGATTCATGATCAATTGGATTCATGATCAATTGGATTACTGCAATCAATCAAATTCACATCAATGAGGTTTTTGATCAATTTGATTGTTGATTCGATTAATTGGATTCCAGATAATTTGGATTCATGATCATTAAGGTTCCAGGTTAATACAGATACATGATCAATTGAATATGAAATTAATGAAATCCCTGATATATGGGTTGCTTGATCATTTGGATTCTTGATCAATTAGATGCCAGTTTAATCTAATTCTTGATCAATTGTATTTCTGATTAATTGGATCCTTTAGATCAATTGATTCTAGATTAACTAAGTCCTGCATGTTGTAACTCTATTAAATAATATTTCAACATTAATGTTTTTAACATTTAAAACAAACCAAAACTTTGTTACCTAGAACAGATATAAGTTTTCCCACCAGTTGAATTCTCATATTTGAAGAGGTTCGTTCTATCATCTCATCAATCTTTGTATGATACTTGTGCTAAAAAATAGAAATTAACACCTGAAAGGTACATGGCGTTGAAATAAAATGTGACGTTCCATATGAAGATTGGCCTCGAAATCCGTTTTACAACGTTAACATTAAAACCTTTATCTGCTCAATAATGTGACAGATATCGTTGTTTTAAAGTGATTGATTCTGAAAATTTCCTACAATGTTCCAATTGCTAAAAATTCAAAGGACTTTTAATAAAGAAACCACAATTGAAAAAGATTAACTTTAAAAGTTAAAAACATGGATATCTTATTCATTCTTGATCAAACTGAACTTCTATGGGTACAGCTGTGAAGCGGACATGACCCTCTTTTAAGGGACTTAAAATAATGTTGATATGTTTAAAATTGTCTAAAAGCTGTCAATTATCTGATAAATAAGTAAATTTAAGAACTAGCTCTATAAAGAAAAAAAACTAGCTACTGTCCAGTACAAATACCTACATATATAGCACCGATATAAAATAATTAATCATCAAAACTATCATCTATATAAAAAATGGTCTGAACAAAAACTGACCTTAAGAGGCATGCTAAATTTGAAAATCGAAAAGTTATTCAGAGAAAAAAAATATACACCCAATCTATATTATATAAACTATATGATTTAGTATTATTTTCTTTAGAAAAAAAGCTTATTTTATAAGAATTGACAACATTAAAATGACATCATAAAAATGTAAAATAACCTACACTAAAATATAATTTAAATTTGTTTAATCCAAATATTTAATGATTGTCTTTAGTTTAGCCTTATCTTGTAAGAAAAGGACCGATAACTTGCCTCAAACTGTAATATTTTAATCCCTATATCTTTGCAACCTGACATCAAAGACATTTGTTGAAAATACAAATATTTTTTGCCACCATCAGGATGTAGGGATTAGGAAAATTAGAGATTGATGCGAGTACTTGCAGTTTCTTTATTATAGCTCTATAACTTTCTAAACTATAATTTAAACTGTTCAAAAGTAAATGCCCAAAAGTCAGAAAAGTTTTGAAAATTAAAAATAATCTTTGTTAAGATCTAAATTTGATCAAATAGAAACCCAGTGAAATATTAAAAATTGTTACTATTTGAAGACCTGAAAATCAATCACTCACACAAAAATTTTAAAAATTTTCTCTTTTTAAACTTTATGTAAATGGCTAGGGCTGCAAAATAGTATAAATGATTTGGTAAGGTAAATCCAAAGACCAAAGCGTTGCGACACTTTAAAGTCGAGGCTGTCTAAAAATTGTATGACTAGCTTTCAGTGCCACCCGATTATAATGTAAAATGTACATTGTTCAAGATTCAAATAATGTAGAGCTATGTTTCCATCAACATCTAAGCAACAAAAATACAAAAAATACTTCAAAATACTACGCATGCAATAATCCTTCTTTTCCGAGAGGGAAAGAATAAAAAGAGATATGAATAACTTGTTTCATAGAAACCTTTTTTGGTTTAGATTTCTCATCGGTTTGCGGAGTTTTATCCTAAATAAATTAGCATAAAGAAACACCGGGTTCAAATTCTCGACCAGAGCAATTTTCTAAATTAATAAAACCTTTTTTTCTTACAAACGTAGACAAAGAAATAAACCAATTAGTCATCATTGAATAAAAAAGTGATTTTGGTTTGACAAATTTTTGCAAATAATTTTTATTTGTAATATATACATTACACATCACACATAGCAAGAAATAGTAAAATAAGATGTCTTTCTTAATTTTGCTTCAAAATGCTATTAATATATTTTAAAAAAACATTTTTCTGCACTGTCACTTTTATTTTAAGGTTTTTGAGAGGACATTTCACTTTTTTTACTCTTTTAACAAAATAATATTTTGATTATTAATTTAAAGATGACGCCAATGACAAGTTTGTCTAACTCGTTGTTTATGTTACTTTTGTTTTTTAAGGAAAATTATCAACATTTATAGGACTTTTTAAGATTGTGAAAAGTTAAAGGGGGTCTGGCTGAATCTGAATAAAATTTGGAATCGATAGATAAAATTTTATGCGTTTAGGCATTTAAGCGTTTCTAACTTTTTCCTCCTTGCATACGCTATATATAGAAGTGAAATTAGCAGCGATCCAATTAAAAACTTGATTTATTTCAGTCTACAGACCCTTTCAATTTTCGAGAACACTCCTTTTAAACAGAAAACATCATGCATTATGCAAGGGCTAAAAGGTTAATTTTACACACTTAAGTTAAGAATAATATAAAATTATTTGAAGGTAAAATATATTTTTTTATATTGCAATATTTTTTTTTAGCTTGAATTAGAAGTTTTGTTAGATTTATGTTTAGTTTATTAAACAATGAACAACCTTGACAAACATGGTGCAACACACATAATATTTACAAAATATTTATTGAAACTTACTAAATCAATTCCATCCACAGCACACAGCTTCAAAGACTGGTTCTTGGCATCTGTAAAAAAATGGTTGTTTTTTTTTACAAAAAAACTAGTAATATAGAAAGGTGTACTTCCCTTCACGTACAATAAATCTTGTTTTTCATTTATTTTCAAGAAATTAATTTTGAAAATTTATAACCCTTTATATATTTATATATTTATATCTACTCGGCAAATTTGTCATATTACTTTCCGCTGAAATTTACTTCTTGCTGAACAGGGTAAAAAGTACAAAAAAACCTAATTCTCAAAATAAAAAAATTGGACATAACAAAAGTACGTATTGGTATTTGAAAATTGAAAATATTAAAACACACACATTTTTAGAAATAAATTTCAAATAACCCACCCTAAACTAAGATTATCGTACTGCACTGACAACAAACAAACAAATGCTCTACGTACAGATCATTCTTGCAGCAACCATATCGTAATGATCATAGATGTCCCACCAAAGGTTATCTTTAATACATTTATTATATCTGTACAAAAAGAATCTACAGTTCCTTCCCTTTGGGGCATTTTTAAGCGGCACAATAAATCAACTAATATATTTATTTATGCATATTATAAATAATATTTTTTAAATGTAAAAAATACATATTTTAATATTACCTAGAACAACATTAACCATGGCACATATTTCCGATGGAAGAACATAATCTGTTGGATTTAGTAGAATCCCCTTCTTTAGCTGAACCTCAAAGGATCCATAGGTTCTGAAAAAAGTAAAACTTAAAATTGAAAAAATAGAATTTTGAATGGAACGCTAGGTAGTCAGTTAATAACTATATGTTAAAGACAAAACTAATAGAAATGTGAACATTTTCACAGAGTTTAGATTTGCAAATGTCAACAAAGCGGTTGAAATTCACTTGTCCTGCTTATTACCTAATGCTTTTTACTATTTAAGAGGGCTTTGCTCCCCTATTTACCCTGTGCGCCTCCCCCCCCCCACCCTGCAAAAACTTCTAGATACTGGCTCTGCTTGACATATTCCCAAAATGTCAAAATGCTTTATTCATGCTACTTAGGCAAAGTGTTAAACAAAAGCAGAAAAGAAAATTTAGGTTTATAATTTTACCCTATTTTGAGACCAGATCACCCTGCAAGAGTAGTGCAAACCCCGTAAATTGGCACTGGTTTATCGAGAAGACGACATTCATATTATTACTTAATCTTTAAACTGTTCATAATTGTTCCTTGTTAAAAAAAAACTGCACTTTAGATATATCCACAAGTTATTGATTTTGGGGGTTAGGCCCCTTGAACTATTGATATGTTCACTTTTGTTCATATTTCTATTTATTTAAATATTTTTATTTTTTTTTGTTTTATTTTAAGAATATAATGTTTTACTTTTTGCATAATAATTTTTTATGTCATAATTTTATGCAAATAAAGTAATCCAAATGATCTCCTTTATACTGTTGAGTACTGGTAGCCCTTGTGATGTAATCTTTATTCTGATTACTACATTTGGAAGCAAACAGCTTAGAAGCATAAACAATTGTCGGAATATTCAATAACTCAAACAACAGTAGGTCGGATATTCTAGTATCCTTTTATACAAATTCTTGCAGCATAGATTAAATGTCGTCGTGCTTATACCAGTGCCGATAGGTTTGCAAAACTCTTGCCTGGTGATTTGCAAACATTTTAAATCAAACATCAAAAAGAAAAATATTTAATTCATAATTTTTTTAATTAAAACTATTTTTACCTTTGAATACATGAATCAATCATATCACAAGCCATCATTTTCAGCCTCTGATTTAGATGGTTCCCAAACTCTGGATCCGGCCAGTGCAGGTCCCTTGAAAACATGTCAGATGCTGGATTTCAATAAACTTAAAATATGCAATAAAACTTTCAGAATTGATACAACAATCCTATAATTTACTGCTAAAATAAAAAGTAAATACAGTACTACACCCTGAAGGCGGTCTGAGGTCAGACCTTGTGTGTTGTTAGTTATATGGAATCAAACTTTGATCTCCACCAAATATGCGGACCTTTAAAATTCCTCTTCTATCTCCCATGGTGGTCATACAATGGATAACTTTAATTGAGTGATCAATCATCTATCCTCAAATTTAAAAGTGCCCACACTAGATATCGAGATTAAGTATTCAAGATCAGAGATACTCCACAGAATAGGTTTTGACCTCTGGACTTGGAAGTTTCTTTTCAGATCTTTAGTGATTGATTGATTAGTTGGTTAATTGATTGATTAATTGATTGATTGATTAATTAATTAAATACCTGATAAAGGATTGAAGAGCATCCAGCTTCCAAAACAGGTCCTCGGAAGTTGCACAGCCATTACTAGGTAAATAAACCAAATAAACGTATTACATGTGTTTTCTTGTCAAAATCATGATTAATTTCCAATACAATTAATTAGAGGTGTTTACAAGGATCCAATCAGGGGTGGCTTATGCAATGAAAATTATAAAGGGAGAGGATTGCGTAGATATTTTAATTCCCCAGTAATTTTTAACTGTGTTTCGAAAATGTGTAATAAATAACCCTGTAACGATCTGAGCAAGTCCTCACCTCCTATCTTTCACAAGCATTTATTAGATATCTTACATTTTAAATATTCTAAAATATAAAAAAAACTCTTCTACTTTTAGTTTAAAGTCTACCCCTAAATGTTATCTAGTATTTAATAAAAAATTTACTAAATCTATTTAGAAAATCATACAATTTTAACCATAGTCTGCTAGATTTATAGCTTCCATTCAAAAATTAAAATTTCATTATTATCACAAAAATGTATGCAGTTAAAAATTTTTCAAAAAATTATTAATGTTTTAAAAATTGGCTTGCTGTTGGAAAATCTTAAGTGAGAAAAAGGTGTAGAAAAATACAAAAGAAGTTGCTAATCAATGATGAATAATTAACAAACTTATTAAAGTATGATCACAAAAAGTGATTTGATGTCAAACACTAAAAGGTTAAAACCCTTTTAGATTGATATTGATAGCTTTCATCATTTTTATCTGGATTTCTATAGTCTTTTTTTACCCTCTTTTTAGGTGGATATCTACAGGTAGGATATCTCTTATCTCTATTAATATATACTTTACTTGTCTGTTTGTTCGTTTGTAACCAAGAAAAAAAACAGCTAAACAAATTGGACCGAAATTTGTCATGGCAACTCACAGTCACCTGACCCCTGGGAGGGTTTATGGATTGTTAAACTTGAACAATGTTGCCCTATAGAAGTATCAATAACTCAGAATGATAACATATTTTCACAAGTTTATTTAATTATATGTTACTCGTTTAACATACTAAGAATGACTAGTGTAAAATCCGAGATTCAACAAGTTTGCGAAATATCAGTGAAAACTCAATTCTAATTTTAAAATGTAGGACAAAATCATATTTTCTTATAACTAAAAGCCAGGCTTCTACAGCCCATTATTATTTTTGAAAATGCGCCACAATTCAAGACGAAAAATCCGATAAACTTTGAGAATGATAAAAAATGACCACTTTCAAAGCAAGGTTAAAAGCTAAAATTGAGAATAAGAAAGGGGGTGAAAAGCGTCCTAAAGGTTTTTAGTTTATCTATATTATCTTCTGGACCGATGTCTCTATAGTTCCTATTTATCCAGATTTCTATAGAAAGGATATCTCTAGCCTTTATTTATCTGAATATTTACGGATAGATGTCTCGATATTCTCATTCTATCTGGATATCTACAGGATGGATATCTCTACACTCTGTTTTTTTGGATATATACAGGATGGATATCTCTAGTCCCTATTTATCTGGATATCTACAGGATGGTTATATCTATCCTCTGTCTTTCTGGATATCTACATGATGGATATCTCTAGTCTCTGTTTTTATGGATACCTATACAGATTAGATATCTCTACCCTCTGTTTTTTCTGTATATATATACAGGATGGATATCTCTAGACTATATTTATCTGGATATCTACAGGATGGATATCTCTAACCTTTATTTATTTGGATATATTCGGTATGGATATCCCTAACCTTTATTTATCATGATATCTACAGGATGGATATCTTTACCACCTATGTATATGGATATTTCTACTCTCTACGGTTTACCTTGGTCTACCAATACATGGTCTGGGGACCCGACTATACAAATTATTTTATTATTAATTTTAAATCTTTAGGTTTGTCAATTTACTTTTTCTTGAGTTAATATTTAACTTACCCTTTAATATTAAATAATTGGTTTTATAAGAGAGATATATTTTTTATCCTAATCAATATGATTAATATTAATTTTTTCTTATACAGTTAAACCCAAAATAAGAATTCATCAAATGTCGTATTCTTCATTTTCTGATAATGGAATGTTGCAGATATTTAGTTTTTTAATCAAATGATTATATGGAGCTCTTTTAAACTGTTCCCGCATATTCATGGCTGTTTATTTATTTTCGCAAATACTGAGATTTACGTAAAAAAGTATAAAACGTTGAAAAATTGTCAAGACGACATTTGATAAATTCTTTCGATGTAGGGTTTAACTGTATGTTCTGGTAAACAGAGCAAATATAGTTATTGATCATATAATACAATGTTTTTGTCTTACCCATTAATAAATATGGATTTTAAAATTTATTCTATTTACCCTTTAACAAAATGTTGTTGTATTTTTTGTATTTTATTCTGAAATAAATATCAATTATTTAATTCAGTTGACTTACCCTTTAATCTCCCATTTTTCTTTTTCAAATCCCTTGTGAATAGATTGCGCTATACTAGACTCCATGAGATCAACATACCGAACCACCTCAACAAAGAATATTTTGTTTGGTCCAAATTCTTTATCATTTGTTTGAAAATTTTTGACCTAAAAATTCATCGATTTTGCCCTCATTAAATCATTTCTTTTCCCCAATTAAGCGAATAAAACCCTAAGCACAAGCATGTATATTTTCAAAAAGGGGGGGGGGAATGAATTTTGAGAAAATATAAACCTGCCATGAAATTAAAAAGAAAATTGAACGAACATATTTATCATTTAATTAGAATTTATAAGAATAAACCAATACAACTTTCAGCAGAAAAAGAGCCTAAAGGGTTCATGATTCACAATATTATGGAATTCCTGAGAAAACTTGTTTACCTGAGGGGCAAATACCTCCCGCAAATGTTGATGGAATTTCCCATTCTTGAGATTATCTAAAAAATGGTAGATTTAGAAATATATTTCAGTATGTAGAAATCTTCCAAAATTGTTTTATTTTACATTACGCGCCAAAATTTTAGAACACGAGATTTAAAACTTACCATCTGTTCTGAGATTGGAAAACTTACCGTCCGTTCTGAGATAGTCATTTAATATTTGGAAGAGGGGAAAGGAATCCCAAGTATCAGCTGGTTGCTCTGACAGTACACTAAACAGTAAACAAACATTAGCATTTGCTATTGAACAGACAGTACACTAAACAGTAAACAATTATGATCATTACCTATCCATATCAACAACAAACAAGACGCTAATTAGGATTCTTACCTAGATCCATATCAAAAGCAAACAAGACCCCAATTATCATCATTGTATATACATAGCGAGAGCAAATAAGACCCTAATTTTGATCATTACCTATCCATTTCAACAGCAAACATGGCCCTAATTATGATCCTTACCTATCCATATCAACAGCAAACAAGGACCAAAAGATTTCACTGTGTTCAACAAGAAGATCACTAAACCAGGCAAATGCCTGATAAAAAAATTAGAATAATCAAAATGAAATTTTCAGCAAAAATATGTCAGCCAATTTTATTGGCGTCATATTTTAGAAGCTCCCAGAAAAAAAAGAAAAACTTTTTTGACCAATTTAATAAGAATTAAATTTTACCCCACTGTTAGATATTTCAACGAAAATTGTGCGTCGAATTATTTCTAGGTGCCAAAAATTGATATCCTTTATAATCAAAAATGTACCCAACTTTGAAAAAAATAGCAATAGAAAAGAAAGTCATTATTTTTGTTTTCAAAAAACTGTATTCCCAAAGAAGTGATAAAATATATCCCCCAATAAGTAACTAGGCATATCTACTTCACTACTTTATAGTAAGCGTCTATTAGCAGTCAGTGCTTTTTTTAGTCGCTTTCTGAAATTTAATTTTATATTTTAGTTTCAGCTTTAAACGTTTGGATATTTTTTAAGTACGATACAGAGCATCCCATACCATAAAGGATTATGTCCAAGCTTTAACGCCAAAATTTGCACATAATACTCGAAAAACTAGTATTTTCTGCATGCAAATTTTATGTTAGCCTTATACAATTCTTTTTAAGGATTTTTTTTAAATTTTCTGATTAGTCCCAAAAATTACAATTTAGAGCTGTAAACCGATCCAATATGATGTCAGACACCCTGTTAAAAAAAAAACATCTTTTAAAATCTTATTTCAGGGGTGTGTAAAATTACTGTGAAAAGGGTTAATATTAAAAATGAAAAGAAATAAAGACACTGGAAAAAGACAAGGAATGGAGAGGGAAAAGAATATAAATTTGACATAAGGAAAAATATGCAAAAATTGATTTAGGAAAACTCTCTTCCATAGGACAAATTAACCCTTTAATTTTCTACTCCCTTAATATTTTAAACCTTTGATATTTCCATCTTAGATTATTTGATTAAACCAAACTGAGTTTTTAGCACTCGGTTAATTTGGCAGGAGATGTACACCCCTGATTAAGTTTAATTTGTAAGCAAATATATTAAAACAATGTTATTTATTCTAAAAGATAAAAAATACAGAAAAACCCTAATGATGGAAATAAGAATAACTAAGAAATTAATAGCATGCTAAGTTATGCAATGTGATTTTAATAAATGTGTTAACAACAACATGCTCATCATCAAGGAGAATTGAATAGAAGGAGGGGGCGATAAGGATTCTGTACACTTTGCTGTGACGTTTTTGGACTGCTGAAGAGCTAGTTTTTGCGTAACAACAACAATAAAGATTGTAAACAATAACACAAATGATAAACAGACATCCGGCGCATCTCTGGCGTTAGATGAAGATTCACCGTATACTAACTCATGTTTGTTTACATTAGATCGGCTGCCTTTGTTATTGTTGTTACGCAAAAAACTAGTTCTTCAGCAGTCCAAAAACATCACAGCAAAGTGTACGGAAACCCTATCGCCCCCTCCTTCTATTCAATTCTCCTTGCTCATCATCAACTTTTTAACCGGGTTGTGTTTTATAAAGCAAAGCTAACGAAAGTTTACTAATGGGGTTAGCACACTGAAGATAAATATTCTACCTTTTAGTTAATCGAGTTTATAAACTACTTATTCAATATTTAAATTAGTGTTTCCTAACTAATAATTGACTTTTTATTCAAGAAAATAACATTTTATTTTTTCATGAAATCTGTTCTAAGAAAGTTCAAAGAAAGAATGAAAATAACTATTTTTCTAAAAGAGTATTCATGCGGTTGTTCACATTTATTTCCTGGATAGATTTCCAATTTTTAAAAGCTTTTTTAATAGCAAACATTAAAAGCCAATAGAGTTTTTTAGAAAAAAACCATAAGGGAATGGTGGCTTTAAAAAATAAAAGTCTTCATATTTAATGTAAATTTGTACAGGGGCAAAAAAAAATAAAGATACATTTGGCCAGTAAGATTTCACTTTCTTAAAAATATAGAATGTAAGAAATAAATCACTGTGTTGTATTATCTAAACCTCTGAATCTACTGCATGCACTAGAAAACTGCCTGATTTTGAGTATTCTGGCTTAGCAAACAAAATTTGATACTAAAAGGCAAACTAATGATTTTATACTTTCCAATGAAGATTTGAGCAAGTATTTACAAGTATTTATTTAACAATCTAGAACATATTGTGGATGTTTGGACCTAGCTTTGATGTTCAAATGACAAAAAAATGTTCAAAATGTTTTTTCCTCCAAATTTTGAATTTTCTTTATAAGTGGTTTAATTTTCAATAATACAGGGTAATAATGGGAGCCGCACAAAACATGACACCAACCAGGCGAATTAAAGGTCGTCTTTGATCTTTGAAATAATTTACCACATTTAATTATTAGTAAACCACGACTGAATGTATTAAAGAAATCCAAGATCAAAGACGACATTAAACCCGTCTTGCTACTGTCATGTTTCGTGGGGCACCGGCCCTGTACAATACCTCGCAATTTATGTAGAGCATGACAATATCTTTTTTTATCTATTAGTAAATTTCTTAGAAAATAAAAAAGGATATTGCCATTTTCCACATAAAGAAAGTTAAAGCTAAGTCCAAGTACCTTAAAGCTAGATCTAAAATAAGAAATTATACATATTTTTGGTCTCAATATTGTTATTAATTCTAGAGTCACATGTTCCTTGAATATGTTCATGTGATTGTTCTTTAATAAATATTGTGTATTTCATGCTATCCGTTATCAAGCCAAAATAGTCGAAGAAGACATGAATTACCTCAACCTATTCACACAAATATATTATTCAACCTTGGATATTCAACTAACAAAAATTGAAAGTTTTGGATTTCAAACAACTTACATTTTGGAACTGCAGGAACAGGGAGCATTGACAAAAAATGAATGTTAATTAATTAATTAATTTATTATTTTTAAACTCAGAAACATAAAAATATGAACCCTCACCCAATCTACCATGTAATTGGGGGAAAAATTACTTTTAATGATTAAATCTGACTGGTCTAAATTAAATAAGAAACGGTTTAAACATAACCTACCCACATGTTTTAAACTGTTTTCCTTTTATTTAAAACCAAATCAAACCATGAAAAGCTATTTACCCACTGTACAATGTACAACATAATGTGATGCATAATAGGTAGAGACAAATAAAATATTCTGATTTTGTTTTGTTCTTTTTTTTTAAATAGATATTTGTCTCTGTACTGCTGGATTTCAACACAACCAAGGATGGGCAAGCTTTTTTATAAAAACAATTTTTCAGCTGTTAAATGGAGTGACCGGCTATGTGAGGTAGTTAAACTGAGTATGCAGTGTTGTGGAAAACTTCTTTCGGATTCATTTGAGACTTGTAAAAATTTTTAAAGATCTGTAAATCCTGAGTTTGAGTGCAAATTCGACGTTCAAAAAGTTCTACAATAAACTACAGACGTATAGGAACATGTTGAGAAAATAAAAATTAATCTTTTCATCGAAAATAAGTAATCTTGTTCAATTATTAGTTTCTATTTTCTCATTATTCTGGTTTCTCATTATTTACAAAGATTTTCACAGATTTTCTAGAATTATTATTGAAAATACGACATTCAAAGAATTTGACGAAATCTGGGAAGAAATTTAAAGAAGATAAGAAATTCAGTATAATAATGAAAACGAAAAAATCGATTTAGCATCGATTTTTAACAATTTTTTTTTTGAGAAATATGTTCCTAACCATCTAATTAGATTATTGTATAATTTCTACTTTATTTTTCGTTGTCGTTATTTAGTAATTTAAAAAAAACTAATTCTAAAAACGTATCCACCCCCAAAGAAGGAGTTTTGAACGTCGAATTTGCGCTCAAACTCAGGATTTAAAGATCTTTAAAAAGTTTAATATGTCTCAAATGAATCCGAAAGAAGTTTTACACAACACTGCATACTCAGTTCAACTACCTTACATAGCCGGTCACTCCCTTTAAGGAACTGGAGACGTATTTAAAGGTGATCTTCCCTTCGTGGAACAGCATGTTTGATTCCCAATGTTGTGGAAAACTTCTTTCGGATTCATTTGAGACATATTAAACTTTTTAAAGATCTGTAAATCCTGAGTTTGAGCGCAAATTCTACGTTCAAAAAGTTCTACCATAAACTACAGACGTGGAACATGTTGAGAAAATAAAAATTATTCTTTTCATCGAATATAAGTAATCTTGTTCAATTATTAGTTTCTTTTTTCTCATTATTCTGGTTTCTCATTATTTACAAATATTTTCACAGATCTTCTAGAATTGTTATTGAAAATACGACATTCGAAGAATTTGACGAAACTGGGAAGAAATTCAAAGAAATTAAGAAATTCAGAATAATAATGAAAACGAAAAAATCGATTTTAGCATCGATTTTTAACAATTTTTTTTGAGAAATATGTTCCTAACCATCTAATTAGATTACTGTATAATTTCTACTTTATTTTTCGTTGTCGTTATTTAGTAATTTAAAAAAAACTAATTCTAAAAACGTATCCACCCCCAAAGAAGGAATTTTGAACGTCGAATTTGCGCTCAAACTTCAACTACCTTACATAGCCGGTCACTCCCTTTAAGGAACTGGAGACGTATTTAAAGGTGATCTTCCCTTCGTGGAACAGCATGTTTGATTCCCAACGATACCCTTTAAACTTTTGACTAATCAACGTTAAATCAGATATCCTGTTTGTTAAGTTTCTTGGTCTTTTTCAAATATGATTTCTCTGTACTTGCGCATTTATGCTTCAGATATGAACTAAAATAAACGCCATTGTCATCCTCATTCTTTCTCAGATAGTAAAGTGTAAAGGTATTATTGCAAATCATGTCACTCTGTAATTGGAGGGTCACGTGAAATCACGTCTGCATGGACTCTTCAAAAGCTGTCAAAACTTAAACCAAAAAAAGTTAGAAATCTATATTTTATATCTACTTGTTTTGATAAGAAAAAACAATGCCCACCCCTATGAACAACGCCACCAAGAATAGCAAAAAGTGATGAATCAAATATGCTTGACACCTAACATCATTTCAGTTTCTGCAAACAAAACAAAAAAAAACAAAATGAAATTTTTACATAAATAGTATTTTTTGAATTCTTTATACATTTTTTGAATTTTCTTTCTCATGTGGTTTGTGCAATGTATACACATACATATGTATTCAACATTAAATTATTATAAACAGAAAAGATCTCCTAGCACTTCTCAAATGTGAAAGTTTTACTTTTCAGAAAAAAAATCAAGAATCCTTTTCTCTAAACAGTAAAATTAAATTTTAACACTCAATGGTTGGAGGAAAACGAGTACTCCCCAGGGTTGGGCGAACCAGAGAGGCTAAAATCCCCCAAAACATAAAAGTCCTTATACCATACGTACCAGCTTAGTTGCAATTTTTACATTTTTACCGGCCAGGGGATCAACAAGATTTATTTTCAATCAAGCTTCCCAACAAAAAATGAAATGAAGAAAAACTCAAGCTACAGACCAACATACATTTAGCTTGTTATGTAAAAACATTTATGTTTTACAATTACAACCAAAGATTATTTATAAAGGATGAAAATCTAATTATTTAAACTGCACCTTGTTAAAAATCAAAGTTTTGTAAAGTAATTGATAAATAGTCATCCTGTATAATGTTTATAGTGTTATTTCACGTTCAGGACCCGACACCATGTTTTGTAAACACAGGTTCTACGCAGTTTACTGTTTACCTCCACGTAGAACAATGTAAACAATTTCTACGTAGTTTCATGTTTAATTGTAAACCCTGTTCTACACAGTTTAGTATTTACCACCGAGTAGAACTTTGTAAACCCTGTTCTACGCAGTTTACTGTTTACCTCCGCGTAGAACTCCTCGTTCTGCCTGAGTAGGTCAACACATAGATCAGCTAGACGGATTAGATCTTCCAGTTTCTGAGCTGGAGGAATAATAACCTCGCCAACCATATCCTCTACAACATGGAGTAAACCTTTTATAATTTTGCTAAATTTTCAGCTTTTTTTGAGAAAACATTTTTATCAAGATATAATGGCTTTTCCTTTCTAAAAATTATTTACATCTGTACAATTTGTTAACGGTTCCATTCTGTTCGACTGCGTTTAGATTTTGACATTTGAATTATAATTCGTAGCTGAGAAATGTTTAGGCTGGTTAACTTGAAAGATAGTAAAAATTAAATTATAAAAAATATGATAAATTCGATCCTTACCCTGTGGATTTGCCAGATCAGCTGAAAAAACAAATATGATGAATAAAGTAAATTTAAAATAAATAAATATGAAACATATTATTATTTTTTTTGTGTTTTTTGTTTGATAATTGCTTTATTATCTATTGTGCTAGAATCTATTTGCCTCTGCCATCCTCTATACAAATTCAAATTGCATTAGCCTATTTCTTCTTACCCTTTCAAGAAGGGAAAGTGTTGATTTGAGGGCCCCTTCCGGTCTCCCAAAAGGGAAACAGAATCTGGAAAATTAAAGTTTATTAAAATAGAAGAATCTTTACTTACAAAAATTGCAATATTCAAATTTTAACATTATAGCATCAATTATAGCGTATTTTTTCTTTTTAATAAAATTAAAGTTTAAAGCTTCATATTTTAAGAAAAAAAAACTCTACCTATTCAAATTTATAAATCAAATGTTCTACCAAGAAAAATTCAAAAGTAAATATTTTAGCATAATAAATGTTGAATCACAATGATTGAAATTTGTTTATAAAAAAGTAAAAAACAGGCTTCCAAAGTTTGTCTTTTTTGATTAAATGCCAATGAACAAAACAAATGTAAAATTTGTATAAATGCAATCCAGAATCAATAATTGATTAAATGCAAGTGAGCAGGATTAAAATTGCAAGATTGCTGAAAAAATTAAAATATTGACCTAAAGTTTGTTAATTGGAACTCTAGCTGAACCCTCAACCTCTCCTTGATCTCGTTAAACTTCTCCTTCTCCTCCTGGGTAACTGTTCCAACACCATCAGGTCTAAACAGGCGCAACTATTCATAACCTCTAAGGGATTCCATCAAAAAAGTGGAAAGTTTTTGTTTTCTCGGTTTTACAAAAAGGAGCGATGCCGTAAAATACCTTTTTTTTTTTAAAAAGTCCCATTTAATTTGAAATTTATCGAAGTGCAGAGGTGTATTTTTTCAGAATGGGGGGGGGGGGTGATTTTATATGATTTGGGAAAAACAAAAGGAAAAATTGGGACAGCAAAAGGCAACTATTTTTATTCTTTATTTATACTTTTTGCCCAAAAAATGTTGCACTCCGCACAAACATATACAACTTCTGGACGAAAAATATACAACCCTGATGAAGTTTTTACTTTTACACTGCTTTACATTAAACATTTTTGAGTCAGTTCTCCTTTTCTTTTTGGTAAAACTCAGTCAGTAAAACGAGAAAAGTCTAAATAATATTTCTGTCTATTTTTTATTTCAAACTGAAACCATCATGATCGAATTTTTATGTTAAAAATTAAATAAAATCTTTAATTGAGATTAAATATTCTAATCTTTAAAAAAATCATAAATGTTGTTTAACTCAAAAAATGATCAAAAAAAAATAAAAATATTTAACAATCTATCTAAAATGTATATTCAACTATCTGTTCTGAACTAATACATAAACATGCAGTTTAGAGCTACTATATATTAATTCACCGTTGAAAATAAGCAGAATCAAAGAATAACTTGAATGACAATGGGCACAGGTTTTTTATCAGTTTTTAAACTTAATTTTTTTGCTTTCAAGAAACCTCGACTTTGTCAGCTAGAAATCTTTTAAAGTTTTTTATTATAGTATGGCTTTGTTTAGGCGTATTAAGAATCAAACTTTTGTATTAAGTTATAAAACTTAACTGTATGTAGAGCTGCTTGAAAACAAATCAACTTTGAATGTTTAAAAACTGATGAGATAGAAGGCCCATCATGCCCAACCTTATTGGTACTGGGTATTTGGTAAGCCGAAAATAAACCCTAAGTCAGGATGAAATATTTCTTTAAAATTATATTGCATTATTAAAAATCAAGAGAATCATGAAAAAATTTAAAATATTTCTAAACGTTTTTGAAAATAAAAATATTCTAATGTTATCTGGCTCACCCAGTATTGGTGTATGTTATTATATGTTGTTATATGTTTGGTTCAAATATCCATATTTTCTGCCTTCAAGAAAGATAAGAATAAGTAGTAAAACTATCCGTAAACAGTTTCACAACTCGATTTGTTAAAATGAAATAAACAGATCGGTCTCCTCATTTTCTACTTCGTAGACCATTCATATTTCTTACTAGTTACGAACTCTGCAACATTTTAATACCAAAATTGTTCGAAAAGTAAAAGGTTTACACCATCAGGTTACAATGTAGGCCACACACAATTCTTACAGTAAGAATGATTTCCCAATTCAAACTTCGCCATACAAAATTTCAGTAGTTTTTAAACAAGATAATTTTTTTCCAAAATTTTATATTTTATATCTTTTATATAAATATGATATTTCTAATCTATAGTAATTGAACTCATGCAGTTTAATGATTTATAAAAAACATGTTTTTACTTAATTATATAATTCCTGTTTTAGCAAAATAAAATCAGAGAGAATTTTAGAGAAAAAAACATGCTGAATACATGTATGTTAGACTAAAAATGCTAGTTTTATTGTTTTTGTTGTATAGATTATAGAGCCTAGGTTTAAATGAAGGGTTGCGCCAGAACAGAAGAGGTATCATCTTATCATCTTGAAGAATAAAGATCCAGGACAATTTTATTTCGAATTTTTTTTATCTCATATTGTTGTAGATATAATTTCCATGTTGTCCAATACATTTTGAGCTTAAAGATCCAATATAGTGTATTTGTTAAAATTTGTGTTGTAAGATTCTTGAATATAAAATACATAAAATACCTTTGTACTCAAAATACAGAACTTAATTTATACTTAGATTCTGGAACTTTGTGTACTCAGAATACAGAATACAATAAACACCTTTATTAAGATTCTGGAATTGCATACTGTATGCAAAATTTAGAACACGATCTACAAAAGTATTCAGATTCTGGAATAAAATACATCACTGTATTCAGATTCACACTCGTAAAAAGATTGTTAAATACAGCGTAATATTAAAATACAGAATATAGTATACATAATATAGATATAATCATCATGTGATATTACAGCCATGTTCTCAGAATATAGTATATATATATAATATAGATATAATCATCATGTGATATTACAGCCATATTCTCAGAANAATTTCAAACAAATCATTCAGATATTACAACCTATAGTAATCGATTATCTTTCGCCACATTTGTATATATTTGATATTTTATACTAGTGTTGATTTTGTTTTTTAAATAATATTTAGCTTACAACTTGTTTTCGAACATTCCTGGAAAATATGAAAATGTCGTCTTCATTACCAAAAATCCTCGAAACAGGAATAAATGTTTTTATAAGTAACTCTCAGATCATAACAATTAAAGCATATTATGAAAAATCAGCTAACAATTAACAATTTTCTCCTTATAGACGCAACAGATAGAGGTAAGATTAGTAGGGATCAAAAGCGCTTTTTTATCGCATTGAGCCTATACCCCCTTTCATTTTTCGCGAACACCCCCTTTAAGAAACTAGAACCAGTGCATATAGTATAATGCAAACCATGATCATTAATTAACACTTAAAAAACCTAAATTCCATTTTACCAATATACCTTGCTGTGTAATGTAGACAACAGATATGCAATCGATGTATTTTGTTGTGTATTAACATGCAAACATATCTTTAGTATGTACCTCTTGTTTTCCCCTTTATCTCATGCACATTGCACCTTTAGAGATGGGCATCGTTTATCTAAACGAACCAATTTTTTCAAAACGAACGAACTTTTTGTAAACTATAGTGTCATTTAGAAAAATTAAATGGTTTGTTCCAACTAACGAAAAATGATAGTTTTATTTTTTTACTGAAAAAATGATTTTGAAAAAAAAATCATTGTTTTTTTTTCTGAGCGAACAATTTTTTTGAAAGAACGATTTTACTAAACGATAATTTCGTTCGAAAACGAACGAAATAGATAAAAAATGAACTTTTTTCTGAAACAGAACGAAAAAATAAATTTCTGAACGACTAAAAAAAACGAATCGGAAAAAACGCGCCCATCTCTATTCACCTATTGAATTAAATTCTACCCAACTATACGAGCAATGTTTGAACTGTTACTGAGACTGTTTCTAGTTTGTATTTATGTATTGAATGCATCCATGACAGGTCTGTATAGACTGCCTGGACTACCTTGTAGATTCATCAATGAACTTGTCTGGAGTAGCAAACTGTTCCCCGAGTGGGTTTGAGGGAACACTAAACATACAACTCTTCTCACACTTATATAAGATCAGATATTTCCATTTCCATCCGCGTCTCAGCAAGATGCGACTTTCGATTACAATTTGACCAAATCAACGCAAACTCACAATCTACATCTTTCCAAACCAATGTCGTAGATCCTATGATTTGTCAAACTATACATTCTGTTAGATCAAAATTTGAAATATCAAAGGTGTATACCCTCAGGTTGCGAAGATATAAGGATTGAAAAATTTGAATTTATAGCAAAGACATATTTCCTTTTATGCTTTTTCTCTTTTACACTTTTTTGCCAGTGGATGTGTTCTGAATGATAAAGTAATCAATCTGTAAGTTTAAAGATGAATTATAAACCAACGCATCTAGCTCTGGTTAGTGCCTAGATATTCCACTTCAGCTACAAGGTACAAGATCTAACCATATCACAGTCCTGTTCTAATAATACAAGATCTATACCCTTCAAGTCTTATCTTTGTTTAAGGTGTAGATACTATATAGTGAAAAGTTAGATATGCAAAGCATCAGTTTAGTGCTTGTTTTTATCTAACTTTTTACTTTATCGCCAGGTGCACTTTGCATTTTGCTAGTTTACAAATCAAAAGAGAAAAAAATATGTCCTATTTTTCAAGAAACTATACAACTAAGATTCTAAATGAGAATAACTTGAGAAATGTGAACCCTACAAAAGTAGCAACTTATATCTTACCTCTCCTTCGGGCTAAAAGGGTTGATAAAAATCAAAACATTTATAACTTGTTTCCATTCACAAATGTCGTAAAAAATCATTTTTTGTACCCTATCACAATTAAATAATCTGACATTGAGTAAAAAAATATGGGGAACACAAAGCAGGTCATTGTAATCTTAATAATCTTGAAGGGACTGTACGCGAAATTACAGATGACCCTGCGGCCATTAGTAGAGTGGAGGGTCCGATTTACAACAGTACACTTAAACTTCTGACTGATCAAGGACGTGTCTGACTTTTTCTTATTAATCTCCAACAACACTTGTTAGCAAACTGTTTAATATTGAAGAGATATTAACATTTACTTTATAAAGTAGCAGAAAATAAATTTTACTGTCGAAATTTCAAACCCATTTTAGACGTAAAATACAAAGTTTTTTCCCGGGGCACAAGAATATTAGCTGAGTTGAGTTCACACAGTACACAACTGTACACTCCAAGAATATTAGCTGAGTTGAGTTCACACAGTACACAACTGTACACTCCAGGAATATTAGCTGAGTTGAGTTCACACAGTACACAACTGTAAACTCCAGGAATATTAGCTGAGTTGAGTTCACACAGTACACAACTGTACACTCCAGGAATATTAGCTGAGTTGAGTTCACACAGCACACAACTGTACACCCCAGGAATATTAGCTGAGTTGAGTTCACACAGTACACAACTGTAAACTCCAGGAATATTAGCTGAGTTGAGTTCACACAGTACACAACTGTACACTCCAGGAATATTAGCTGAGTTGAGTTCACACAGTACACAACTGTATACTCCAGGAATATTAGCTGAGTTGAGTTCACACAGTACACAACTGTACACTCCAGGAATATTAGCTGAGTTGAGTTCACACAGTACACAACTGTACACTCCAGGAATATTAACTGAGTTGAGTTCACACAGTACACAACTGTACACCCCAGGAATATTTTAGAGATATAAACAGGGGGATATTTGTCCTCGATCAACAGTCAACGGTTTTAAGGGCATTGCCATCTTTGCGTGGAGGGTCAATTGAAATTACGCTTACAGTCCCTTTAAAGTAAACCCTGAAGAATACATACCTGTTCCCGTGTACATGACTAGCACAGTATGCGTAGCTGAAGTGTATAAGAGTAGGATCTATCACAATTTGTTTTTCACATTTATCCAGCAGGTCGGAGAGATAGCAGAGGTGACGGTAGCAGCCACGAATACCATATCTACAAACATTCAGAAATTGAAGAAAAAAAACTTTTAAGATCAAAATAAGGAATTGAGTCTTTGTCACAATCCTTTTAATTATAAATCCTTATAATTAGACATCCCAATGCCGCAGACCTTAAATATTTTAAAGTATGAAATCTGTTAGAAAAAATAATCTAAGTTTAAAATATCTAGGGTCTACACTATCAGGTTGCACATATTTCGTAAAAAAATCACTGAAGCTTTATTATTTGAAATTATTTTATATAAACGATAAATAAATTCCAAAAACTGTTGTAAATCATAAGAGATAATAAATGAAAACTCATCAAAAATTGATTTTAAAGAATTTGTTTGCAGTTTTTCAGTCTTAACCTTCTTTTTGCGAACCTAATAATTCTAAAATTTTCAACTCTAAATAAAAACAACTTTAAATTAGATATAAATGTTATTCAAATTAGATTTAGCATATTGAAAGTATAGATGAGAAACATTTTTAACATTAACTCTAGATTTTTTTACGCCTCTCATTAAATAACTTTTGCCTTGAAAAAAAATTCCAAATAATTTGATTTTATATTTTACATCTTTCCCTTACATATGTCAAGTTGAAAAGTTAGAAAGGGGAAAATTATAAATAAAATAAATAGAAACAAATTCACCTTGCACAATACTCATCTAGTATAAACACCTGGCCTGGAGTGAACCAACCCTAAATATGTTTTCATGATTTTTCATTTTAAACATTCTTCTTCAATCACAAAAGAATAGAGTCTTTGCCACAAACTCAAATATTCTAATACCTATATCTTTGCAACCTGATGGTATAAATCTTTGATATTTTTAATTCTGATTAATTGATCTAAAAGAATTCAAATATTGAAATATCTATTTCTACGATATTGCGTTGCAAAGGTATAGGAAAGAATCAATGAGTTTATTTTTACCAATGATTCACTGTAAAGCAGCATTGGTAAATACTTCATAATTCGTAATTTTTCATTAATGAATATTAATAATAGTTAATTAAAACACTTAATTTACGATACTTTCTTGTATACCAAAGATAATATTTTAAAGAATAATTGTATACCAAAGATAATATTTTAAAGAATAGTTGTATACCAAAGATAATATTTTAAAGAATAGTTGTATACCAAAGATAATATTCTAAAGAATAGTTGTATACCAAAGATAATATTTTAAAGAATAGTTGTATACCAAAGATAATATTTTAAAGAAAAGTTGTATACCAAAGATGCGAAGGGATCGTTTAATCTCCACTCTAGGCTTAAAGTCTGTAGTTTACAGAATAGTTTATGATGATCAAATCCAATAGGATCTGCCGCTATATACTCCTCCATACCTTAACACAATCACAGCTTAATAGGTATATACTATATACTAGAGCGGGGGTCTGCTTTAAAATACTTATTTACAATGCACAAGTTGCGTTCCACTAATTTAAGCTTTTAAAAATTTTCTTTCAAATCCTTCCACCCACACATACATGTTTCTTTATAAAAAAAATAAGCTCTTATAAAAATATATCCATATATGTTTATATAAAGAAATATTGAAGAAAGTCTAAAAATACACATATTGTGTATTCATACTTCATACACGACGTTCCTATATAAATTCAAAATAAAATATTTTTTGATTTATATCAGCATGAAAACACAACAATATTTAATATATATTTTTACAGGTTTTGGTATTTTGTCCCTTGGATCCGGATTCGTGGATCCGTATTTTATCGGATCCAGATCCAGGAAGCCAAAATGTTGGGATTCCAACAGATCCGGGTACTTTTTCTTAAAATTGAAGTAGATTTTTATTTTTGCAGAATATGAAACTGTGATTAAAAGCAGAATTTTCTAATCATCGTATTTCTTGAATATTTTAGGTTAAATAATTTTGTTTTAAAGTTGGATTAAAGGGACAAACTACTTAATTTCAAGTGAACCTCCATTAATATGTTGAGAAATATGTCCGATTCAAAACGAAACCTTTTAAATATTTATCTATTTACAAATGAATGCACGAGCAGCCGTAGTACAGTTGAATTTCTGAGCTGGGTCAACCTTTACGGTCCCAGTTTGTACTTTACCTAACTCTTTAGGCAAACTAGCCGGTGCAACAAGGTTGACGCAGTCAGACTTTCTGCTTTATTTAGGTTGAATTTACTTTTAAGAGGCAGAGGTGCCTGAATGTATCCTTATATCCTTTTATAACTTAAATTGATTATTTTCAATTATTGTTTCTTAATAAACGCCACTTGAGGATTCAACCATTAGAAAAATGAGAAAAAAATGTCAGAATTCGACAAATTTTAAGACTTTGGATCCGATGAACGTATTTAAAGGGCACTCTAGCCTATAGGACATTTCACTCCATAAATGGAGGCTCATTTCAAATTATTTCTACAGCCCATTTAAATTCTTTAAAAAAATAAAATCCACGATTCCTGAAATGAAAATATAATCCTACCATGCTTTCTGGCTTTATCTGCGTCCCCCTGGTTCTTATTTAACGATGTTGTTTTCCCCGTAGTAACTGGAGGGGCGGGCTTGTGCGCCTGACCGGTTGCACGATAGAAAGCCATCACCCAATTATGAGATTCCTAACAAAAATAATTATAAGAACATAATTAATTTAAAAATCACACTCTAAACGTACGAAAAAAAGATAATATTGGTCCAAAAGAAATTGTTTTTTTTTTTTACATTTCTTAAGATGATAAGTTCAAAAAACGTTTTAAAAAACATTTTCAACAGAAAGTTTTTTTTTCAAAATACTAAGTATTGCGAGTCCAATATTAAAATGTAATTTTATCTTAAAAATACAAAGTTAAAAAGTGTTAAATTTCCCCTAAACTGTCGCTAAAAGGCCCTAGACTGTCCCTAAATGAAAAAGAACCTGTTCATCCTCTGTTGCGAAGAGTACACTATCCCCCTCTCGAACGGTATTAAAGAAAAACTTGCCTCCCTCCAGGTCTAAACATTAATCAACTTCTAACCATGAACCTGACAGAGGGGTAAACTCAGGGATATCCATATATTTAATATTTCAAGTTTGCTATCCTGCAAGGTTCATGGAAGCATGCAGTTTTAATGTTTTGTATTCTTGTCAGTGTGCCAAGTATCAAAAAAAGGGAGTGTTAATGGTTTAAAATGAAGTATTTAGACATCTTCTAGGTGTGTTTTACTTCATTTTAGAACTATCATCGCTCTCTTTAAAGGGAATGTTCACCTACTTTAAAATACACTTCATACCCTAATTTTTTATTGGATAACACAGTCTATCTAAAAACTAAAAGGTGTTCCTGAACTCGAGAATGATCTAAAACTTTCTGTCTAGTGTTCACTCTGCGGTGTTATTATGAATTTCTTAGATAGTTTGTATTACAGCTTCCTAAGCAAGCAAATTTTCGCAATTTCGAACAAAGAAATTCTTTGACACAAACTAATCAAAAGTTTGAAATATCAAAGGTTTAAGCCATCAGGTTGCAAAAATTGTAGCTGTTGGCAAAAACTCAATTTTTTTGCTTGCGGTTTGAGCGAACATTAAGCGTTCGGGCGAACATTTTATTTGCTTTTGGTGGAATTCTATGGTTCCAAGTACAGGGTGTCCCAATAAACATGGAAATTCAGTGACGAATTCTATATCGTCTTTTTAAATAATTCTTTGATTTAGTATAGTGATACCTACAGAAAAAGCTGTAATCTGTAAGAGTTTCGTCTGCTATGTTCACATTTTGTTTGTTTATGTTTTGACGGCATACGGTTGTACATACGGTTAAACAAGAAAATTGCAGTATACAAACAGAGTAAACTTGGTAGTCTTCACTGTTCATCTTGCGGAGACATTATAGACACATTTTTACAGTCTTATACCCTTTTCATAAAATAAACTCTAGCAGACATAATAATAGTTTGGCTTTTGAAATTAGTTATTACAATGTTAATTCATAACAAAGACGGTATCTAATTCGTCACTGAATTCCCATGTTTTTGGGACACCCTGTATCTAAATAATCCGCGAAGTTTTCTATAAAAACACGAGGTTTTTTGAGTAAAAATTAGACCGAGAATTTTGGACATTCTCGGGCTCAGAAACACCCTCGAGCGGTTAGATAAATTCAAAAATAAGAGCGTTGTGTTTATTTTTAACATAGGTGAATGCAATACCTTTAAATGGTAGAATAGTAGAGAAATCTAAAATGTCCCGTAATAGTAGATTTCAAAGATGTTTTTAACCTCACAATAACAATAATATAAATAATCAAACGTAAATAAAACGGTCTTGGCCTTCTAGTGTCTGAAGCAAGGTTGTATAATAAGGTTGATTACTTTCGATAAGCTCCAATTTAAGGAAATGTCGTCTCCTTAGCTTAGATAGATAGAATCCGTATATTTCGCTCTCGCCTTTATAATCAGTGACGTCATATGGGTATTTTTTCTATCTATGCTAAGGAGACGACATTTTCCGTACATTGCTTTTAGAGCACATCCAGAGTAACCAACCTTATCATACAACCTTGGTCAATGAAGGAATACTATTTCATGGTCGCAAAAATACCAAAGGTATATATTCTAACCAATTTAAACAGCGTATTAGTTTAGATAACAAAAAGGATAAAAGTTGGCTAAGTAAGAAAGGAGAGCACGTGGATTTAACGGTTCTGTCAATATTCCAGAAAGCTGTGACTTTCGATAACAATTTGACCCATTAAACACAATTTTTTTAGACTTTTTTCTGAAATACTTTTCTGTCGACATATGTATTTTGAAGGAAAAAGTATAGAATAAACAAATCCGTAAGGTAAAAAATTGATGAATTAAAGACCAAATCACGTTTGATTTCAAATAGAAGAAACCGAATGCTGCTCACTCTGGTTAGTCCAGTGTGAGAGGTCGTGAAATTTATAACAAAACAAAAAAACTAACGGTAAAAACATGACTATTTCTGATAATACTAAAAATCTGGGATATTAACTCTCAAATAAATTCACCAAAATTAAATTAGTTTGTACCTTAGACGTACTGTCAAAAAATTATATTTGAGTCGTGTATACAATGTAAATGTATATATACATAAACATATATTGAATTTTAAAAATGGATGCTGTTAAAATCTTAAAAATAATTTTAAATTGTAAATTGAATACTTTCTATTCCTGATAGTGTGTATTTTGAAGAATAAAAAAGTGTTCTTTAACTTCTTTCAAGAGCGTCTGAACACCTTTGTATTTAAAATTGATCAAAGTTTTTTTTCAAGTTTAAAAAGAAACTTTCATACCAAGTTTTTTTTTCATTTTCGATCTTTTTTATTGTTACAGCTGATAAATTTTTGGTGAAATTAAACATTTTGTTTTCAGTTAAATTATGTTTTTAAATTTAAGGCGCATACTTAAAATGAGACAAAAAACGTTATGATTCGAGACAATCAAAGAATGTTTACTTTGAACTCACTGGGGTTCCTCCTTCAGAATCTGTTTTAAATTGATGCACTTTTGAAAATGTGAATTTTTCTCCGGTAGATACAGACAAAAAAGGTAAAGAAAATATTCTTTTAAATTCTTTAAAAATCCACAAATCATGAAAATATTAGTGAACACTACGAAAACATTTCTCTATATCCGAGATAAAACAAGATTGTGTAATTTAAGAGATTAACTTAAGTTACAAATGTTGTTCAACCAAAACTTTAAATCTTATTTCAATATTTTTCAATAATGTCTTTTTATTTATGAATTCACCTTTAAAGACTTGGATATTAAAAAACGTTTTACAACTTCTTATTTAAAATCAACAAAAATTGTCCATTAAAAATTATTATCAAAGGAATTAAGTTTTTCTAATCTATATATCTTTGCAACCCAAGATCATAGACCTTAGATGTTTCAAATTATGAATTCTATTAGATCAAACAGTCTAAGTTTAAAATATCAAAGGTTTACATTATCAGGTTGCCAAGATTTGGGATTCAAAAATTTGTCAGGGCATCCATCATAACTTGATGTTGATTTTGTTTGCAAATGCATTATATACATTAAAGAACAGTGGTCCTACTTTAATGTATAGAATATCCTAGGGGAATACAACTAGTCACAAAATAACTTCTGGAAAGTCGATTGAAACTTGTCTCTATCAAGGGCGTATACAGGATTTGTTCCAGCTTGAAACACTTTTGTTTGACACTTTTGTTTGGGGGGTGGGCGAATCTACCCCCCCCCCTTCGCTATAGATATCTTGGGGTGGGGCAATTTCTCCCCCCCCCCCATCTGTAAACGCCCTTGGTCTTTATCTATAATAGTAAGTATAACTAATTTTAGGAATTATCTAAAAAGCTAAGAACTAGATTAATATTTAATTCTATATTTTATTTGATTATATTTGACTTTAATCTAATTTTTCAATTTCTCGAGACAGGAATATTAGACACATCAACACCTGAGATTCTCAGGTTTCAGCCTATTTCATTTTTACTTTACAGTCCAAAATAAAATAGGGGTGTTCGTTAGAGTGGGAAAAAACACTTTCGCCGCCCTTTTCTATTTGGATCGTGGAGTCTCTGAGATAAAAATATTTTTTTAAAGTTTTCTATTCTATTAACCAACTTTTAATAATGCTCTGCTAGATTACTATAAAGTTTAATCTTTTAAAAGCATTTATTAATTAAAAACTATATTTTGAATTTTTTTATATCAGTCGCATCAAACAGTTTAGTTTGATTTATTTAATATTTGTAATTATTATTTTTATAAATTTTCTAATGGCTAGCTATTAATCAAAGTTAGGTCTAAGAATCTAAATGATCAATTACTATAGATTGATTATCTTGAAGATATATATTATTCTTATTTTCTAATCTTAGTTATAAAAGTTTTAAGCAGAAGTTATGTTTATTACTATTTTTGGAGATTTTAAAATTGGGAAACATCTAAATTTGTTGTGATTTCTTTTACAATTATTTGGGAATGATTGTGTGTCGATTAAGTCTTGTATTATGTATGACTCAAGGAAACATATTATTTAAAGTATATTTTGTTTCTTGTTGTCAGAAAGATTTGGTTTAAAACTCCTATGCATGCAAGTATACTAAAACAATGACTTTCCGCATTTCAATCAGAATCAGTTGAAAACAATCGTTATGACAGACAGTTAGCTTTTTTTTAGCTCAAGTATTAGTGAAATATTCTCTGGATAACATAATTTTTATGTAATCTATCTTTTTTTGAACATGCGAATTTTTTCAAAGAAACTACAGGCGGTGGCCCCAAATTTCCAATGCCTATATCTTTGCGACCAAATGGTGTATTTACTATTTCAAATTTAAATTATATAATCAAACAGAATTTATAGTTTAAAATATCAAAAGTATGCCACATCAGGATGCGAAAATATGGGATTAGAAAATAAAAATTTTGGCGAGCTTTTAGTTCCAATTTCTATAATATTTATAAATTCAGTTTTGTCTTGAAATAAATCAAAAGTTTGATATATAAACCAAAGCTTGCCATTCACCAGAAATACCTCTTAAACTTAACAAATAATTAAATTTAAAGTTTCTAAGTTTCTCAATAATTGATTTTCAAACTGATTTCTGATTGGTCCGAGTCAGTGGGGAAATACTAAAAATGTCGGTTTAACAACTTACTCATATGGTAGAACATCGCTGAAAATACAAAGATAATTAAAAATTAAAATAAGATAATTAAAAAATAAAATATATAATTAAAAAATAAATCTGTAAAAATTTGATATCATAAAGTAAAGACAAAAACAAATGTGTAAGCTACTACTGTATATATATGAGTCAAGTCCTGTTAATCCGTGGCGTGCTGTATTCTAAGCAAATTGATGATAGCAAATTATTCTTATGTACAAATTCATATCATGGCACTATGTTCAAATAAAAATATGTTCAATAATAAATAATCAAATTAATTATTCATAAAACCGATTTATTATTTAATCTGGAGTTTCATAAACCCAATTGTTTTATTCATCAGAATTTTTTTTCGTTTTAAATACAGCCGTCGTCGTATATATCGATAAAATGAAGACGACTTTCGATTTCAATCTTTGATTTCTGCCAAGCTATCAAACAGCATGAATACACATAAACATGGAAACAAAGAGAAGCTGTCAATTAACAGATTCTCTTTGTTTCCTTTCAAACTTGTTAATTGAAAAAAACTTGTTGGAAATAAAAAAGATAAGTCGTCTTTATTGTATTGATATAAACGTCGACCACTGCAGTTAATTTTTCTTATCTATATCTTTATAATAAAACAAGACATTCATATATATGTTCACGATAGCTCGCCAAACGCCTGTACCAAATGGGCTGAAATTTTGTATGGACACTTATAAAAAAATTTCAAAATTGTAGTTTACCTCCAGCAGGTTCAATATAGTCTACAGTATATCCGTCAAGCTGGAGCATCTCCGACGGATCGTTCTTACGTTCCTTGTAGTTACAGATAGCGAAGGTATACTGAGAAACTTGAACCAGGACAAAATATCTTTTCTTCCATTTTTTCCAAACTGTCTTCCCCATAGCATACATATATCTAAATAAAAAATATTTAATATATACATTGTTTGAAAAATATAAATTGACGAATTAAAAGATACTTTTTAGATAAAAATATAAGATTTTTAAAAATTTAATTTTTGAGAGTTTAATATATCAATGTTTTATAAATCTAAAAATAATAATGAAGTGTCTCTAGCTCTATATATTATATAAAAATAAGTTTGTAAAGCTCTTACACAATTTTTCCAGAGATTTTTCAGAACAAAATTTTCACAATTTATCATTCAAAAATATTTGCCTAAAAACCCAGAAATTGTAGGCAAAAATTAGATTGTTATTATGCCTGAATATACCTATCACTCAATTACCCTTGTTCTAGAATTCTGTTCTTAATTCCAAAGAGTAAGGTGTCATGATTAGCTTGAAATAGATGAACAATCCCTTTAATCATATTATATTGGATATATTCCTACCCGCAGTGTTTCATATTCATAGGTTTATCCATCCTGACGGCAACCTTGATCTTCAACTCTTGATCTCCAGAACCCTTCGATACTGTAGCCTTGTACCACTCAGGGGCCTAGAGAAGCAGAGATATAGAGACAAGTAGTTCAACTATCTACAACTATTTCAACTAGCTACAACTAGTTCAACTAGCTACAAGTAGTTCAACTAGCTACAAGTAGTTCAACTAGCTACAACTAGTTCAAATAGCTACAATTCTAGTTCAACTAGCTACAAGTAGTTCAACTAGCTCCAAGTAGTTCAACTAGCTACAACTAGTTCAACTAGCTACAACTAGTTCAACTAGCTACAAGTAGTTCAACTAGCTACAAGTAGTTCAACTAGCTACAACTAGTTTTACTTATCAATTAAATTAAACCACCTCTCTGGTTTAAATTGATCTCGACGGCATAAGAGAGAAAATTGAATTTGTTGTGGCTAGTTTACCTACTTAGTTATTTTTAGACACTTTACTAATATATTTTGCATTTTTTATTTTTAATAAATATCTTAATCAATTATTATTTTTTACTGCGAAAAATTGCAAGAGCAATTGCTTGATATGCTCTTATTGTTAGTGAAATTGGAGTAAGAAATTGAACACTTGACCCAAACTCACCCAAATATACTTTATAAAAGTGGAGTAGGTTTAATGTAAACTTACTTTTGATGAAAGTGGAGTAAGTTTAATGTAAACTTACTTTTGATGAAAGTGGAGTAGGTTTAATGTAAACTTACTTTTGATGAAAGTGGAGTAGGTTTAACGTAAACTTACATTTGATAGAAGTGGAGTAGGTTTCACGTAAACTTACTTTTGATGAAAGCGGAGTAGGTTTAATGTAAACTTACTTTGGATGAAAGTGGAGTAGGTTTCAAGTAAACTTACTTTTGATGAAAGCGGAGTAGGTTTAATGTAAACTTACTTTTGATGAAAGTGGAGTATAGGTTTAATGTAAACTTACTTTTGATGAAAGTGGAGTAGGTTTAATGTAAACTTACTTTTGATGAAAGTGGAGTAGGTTTAACGTAAACTTACTTTTGATGAAAGTGGAGTAGGTTTCACGTAAACTTACTTTTGATGAAAGCGGAGTAGGTTTAACGTAAACTTACTTTTGATGAAAGTGGAGTAGGTTTAACGTAAACTTACTTTTGATGAAAGTGGAGTAGGTTTAATGTTAACTTACTTTTGATGAACGTGGAGTAGGTTTAGCGTAAACTTTCTTTTTATGAAAGTGGAGTAGGTTTAATGTTAACTTACTTTTGATGAAAGTGGAGTAGGTTTAGCGTAAACTCACTTTTGATGAAAGTGGAGTAGGTTTAATGTAAACTTACTTTTGATGAAAGTGGAGTAGGTTTATCGTAAACTTACTTTTGATGAAAGCGGAGTAGGTTTAACGTTAACTTACTTTTGATGAAAGTGGGGTAGGTTTAACGTAAACTTACTTTTGATGAAAGTGGAGTAGGTTTAACGTAAACTTACTTTTGATAAAAGTGGAGTAGGTTTAATGTTAACTTAGGTTTAATATAATTAACGTAAACTTACTTTTGATGAAAGTGGAGTAGGTTTAATGACGACTTTTCCAAGTTCTTTGTCGTCTAACGACAACATCCCTGGATTCTCTGAGTACAATTTAACCTGCACAGTTAAAATGTAATCTATATATTTTATGTACAGTGATAACCAGAAAACAAGGGAATAGAAAGACGACATTATAGCAATACTTAAGCGTTTTGATGTTAACACAAAGCAAATATGTTTACTAGTAACTTAGCAAAGCACAATTTAAGTGAAAAGGGTCTATTCACACTGTACAAATGCTATGTCTAATGTTCATTGAACTAGTTTAAGTCCTAACTTGGTAATCACTGTTTAAATCTTTTTTTGTTTTTATGTTCGATTACAACCCCTTGACAGATTTGACTCAAATTTTGTTTCGGGAACTCTTTAGAATTATTCAAATGTTCTTAGCTTTGAAACGAAACGTTTCTGTTTTCTCTAACATTCACAAAAAATTGCTAGCCTAGACGTTTCAGATAAAATCTAGTGAATATTTACATTTTGAACCACTAAGAAATGTAAAGTTTGCAAATCAAAGAGTAAAATATGGTTAATACTTATTCTGTACAAAAATAAAGTTATATTACGATATCTAAAACTAAAAAAAAACCTTGAAAACATGATTTTTCTATATTTCCAAAGTTGTGTCCAAAATTAACTTCCTTTCAATTTTTCAGAGGGGGGGGGGATGTCCCTATTCCCCTCAACAGGTGAAATATTACCTTAACTATTGGTAATGGATTAGCAGTTGAGAAATCTCCCTGAGTATCCCAGTATGGTTTACTAGCCTCCACCTGGTCTGTAGCTAGCTTCTCACTGTTTCCAACCTAGGCAACAACTTGTACGTTGGCGGACAAACTCGGACGAATTTTCATCACTAATATGTCTTTTAATCACAAATACCATGAATGACTCCTTGTCGTCATTAATATTTCTTTAATTAACAAAACCATGAATGACTCCTTGTCGTCATTAATATGTCTTTTAATCACAAATACCATGAATGACTCCTTGTCGTCATTAATATTTCTTTTGATCACAAATACCATGAATGACTCCTTGTCGTCATTAATATTTGTTTTAATTAACAAAACCACGAATGACTCCTTGCCGTCATTAATATTTCTTTTAATCAGAAATACCATGAATGACTCAATGTCGTCATTAATATTTCTTTTAATCAGAAACACCATGAATGACTCCTTGCTGTCATTGATATTTCTTTTTATCAGAAATACCACCAATGAGTCTGTTTTCGTCATTGATATTTCTTTTAATCAGAAATACCACTAATAACTCTTTATTTGTTAATACATTTTTGATAAAGTACCCGGAGGTCAAAACGTATGCTTTAGATGGCTCTAATTTACAACGCTTGATCTCGATATCCACTTTTGAATTTGAGGAATTTATTGCAGCTTGATCACACAACAAACCTTCTGCTGGTTCCCGACCGACCACAGGCTATTAAAAAAAAATTAAACCCTCGGACGACAAGCGATGCAGGTATATAATTGAACCAGGGACTCCCAGTTAAAAAGTTCTGATCATCATAATTTCAAAGTTACCATCAATGAGTTCGAAGTGAATAAAAAATGCTTACATGGACAGAGTGTTTTTCAGCACTGACTAAAATGAAAGGAAAAGCAACTCGATCTTTATATGTAAAAGAAAACCAAAAACTAAAAATGTAACTTTAAACATATTTTAGAATCTTTTTAGAAGTTTAATTCAATATTAAATTTGAATTCATATAAGAACCTGGGATTTCACTTTTTACCTATTTTTGATACTTTTTCTTAAAAATTCAATCATTGATTTCCAAACATTCTATTGACATTGACATTGACATGGCTATACATATGATAAACCCATAAAGGCTTTGTAACAGGAATGTATATTTTCTAAAAATCATTTTCCCCCCCCCCCCCGACCCTTTCAGAAAATCCTTTTTCCCTAGGTTTTTTTCCGCTGAACTGGGGAAAATAAATCAGTATAAAATAGAATGAAAAAACTTTCTTTTTGATGTCCAATTTTTATTTTTTTCCCCCAATCATCGAAAATTATTTCCCCCCCCCCCCTAAAATAAACCCCTGCTTGGTAATCTAAGCAGGGGTTGTTGTTTGTTGTATACCTCCATGGTGCAGTAGATGATTCTATTCGGAGGAACAGATTTCAGATTTCTTACTTCTAATACCACCACCTACAATATATACATGTAGGAATAGAAAAATGTATTTCAAAATATAGAAATGTAAAAATATATAAAATAAGAAAAATATTGAAAATAGAACTACTGAATTGTGAAAAAAATATAGAATTAAGGAATATAGAAGAAAACAATTTAAACCGCTAAAAAAAGAAATTTCCATCCAAATTGTTTATTAATTAATATACAATTCCTATTTATAAAACAATTAAGATTTTGCCACAACTTCAATACAACTTCAATACAACATTGGGTTGCAAAGAGTAATAGAATTTAATATCATTGTTGATTTCTAAATGATTAAAAATACGTTATTAAATTGGGTTTGAAAAAACCTATTTAAGCTTTTTAAAAAACAGCGAAGAAAGGTGAAAAAAGAGATATAATGTGAAATAAAAAATATTTAATAGTATCGATCTAAAAACTACGATTTTAAGATTAGTTTTTGTTGTATAACGTTTTTTTAGTTAGAGAAATCAAATAGATTTTTTACTATTCCCGAAAAAAATATAGATTTTTATTTCAAGGGAGGGAGAAAAAAGTTCAATTTATCCTAACCTCTGGTGCATGTTACTAAGAATCAATTAGCGAGGTTAACTAGGATATTGATATATCTCAATAATAAATTATTAATTTAAGATTCAAGTGAAAAATCACCAATAATAAGGTTAAGTTAACCAGAAAATATAAAAAAAAACATGTTAACAAGCAATTATTTGATAAACCTCGAGTTTCGACGTGATTTAAGCAAACATGTTCATTTTTATATTTAATCTACATTAATTTTACATATCAATAGAAAACACCACATTAATCATGGTTAAGCTCGATATATTTTAATTAAAAAACTGTCAGTCGGATACTTAATAATTAGTTTAACATACACAGCATAGCTCGGAGCTCCTAAACCGAACACTTGCCTCAAACTCATTAATCCCTAAATCTTTGCAACCTTTTGTGCAAACCTTTAAACGGAACTGAGTTTTTGCAACAAACTCTGATTTTCTCATTTTTATATCTTTGAAATCTGATGTTGTAGACCTTTACTTTTTCAAACTATGAATTTTGTATGGATGAAATCTAGTCTATGTTTGAAATATCAAAAGTTTACATCACCAGGATGAAAAGATACAGGGATTAAAAAATTAGAATTTATGGCAAGAACTTAGTTCTTTAAAATTCGAGAATTGACCAATAAAAAAGATTAAGAAAAGGTTTAGGACTAAGGTTCAACTTAGTTCCTAAAGAACGCAGTTTAAATCATTTGTTCATTCTAAGCAAACTCTCTTTTTTTAAAAGTTTCAAAAATGTTGTTACCTCAATTTGAAATGTAAGGACGACGTCAGATTTGGAAAGTTGGGATACTTGGGAGTCTTCGGTCTCGTCGTTTCGAGATAAAGAGCTTTGAGAGCGACTGAAAAAAAATTAATATATTTCTATAAGATATATAAAAAACAAGTTGTTTTTTGCCAGTTTTTAATTAATGTAATAAACTAATCTTCAATATCTATTGCTAAAGCTGGAGCATTCATTATTTGTTAGGACAAAATAAAAAGTTCCTGCAAGTACCTTTACTTTACTTTTATCCTAATAAGGGGATTTTTCAAAATTTACTAATTTTCTTTCTTTTAAAACTCTTGCCCGACTTTTAAGTCAGTTTTTTATTCGATGAAGGTGGGGGAGACNAAACGACTATCTTTAGATGTTTTTTTTTTCATTTTTAAACAGGAAAATATAACATTATTATTCATTTGCTTTTACTCTAAGAATCAAATGTTTTGGAAAAGAGAAGCCGTGTACAAAATGGATTTTTTTATTTCTCAATCGAAAAATAAAGAAAATTTTTCTTATTAATAATATTTTTTATATTTCTATAGCCACTTTATAATTATATACTGTCTGCCTAAATATATAAAAAGAACACATATTTTATTAGTTTAAAGCAACTACTTTACCAAAATTATAATTTAAATCTAGAAAACACATGCAAATTTAATCATCCCACACATCTAGAAGTTAAACACAGAAAAGTTTATTTATATATTTGTGTATACATTATAACTATTTTTGTTAATATGTTATTTGTAAACCAGTATGTTCCTGTATAAATATTGTATAACCATCAAGTTCAGCAGAGCAAGCAATTGTTAAAGGGACTCTAGACTAAGGGTGATCAATATTGGAATTAAGCCAACCGCCCACCGGGGGTTGCTGCGTTTCACTTTAAAAAAATCCTGCAATCAAAAAAATTTTAAAATCGTCCATACGGTTGCGAGTTTACGATTTAATTTGGGCGAAATCAACGTGTTATACATCATTTTCTTGGATATTTTATGATAAATTCAAATCTGAATTGTAACTTATTCAATTTTTATTTCTTTAAAAAGCTCTCTCTTCAGATTTGAATTGAGCATAAAATTTCCAAGAAAATGGTGAATTTTATAATATTTTAAAAAATATTTTTTTGAGCCTTACGGTGATTTCTCTGATATTAAATCGTCAATTCGCAACCGTATGAACGATTTAGAATTTTTTTTTGATTGCAATATTATTATTAAGTTAAAACGCAGCAACCTCTGGTGGGCGGTAAGCTGATTTCTAAAAAAGTCACAAATCAATCACTCTTACTGTAGACGTAATTATAAGTAAGCCTCAAAATTTAGAGTCACATGCCCTATTCACAATGATACCCTTTCAACCTTTATCTGAGTAGCAATGAGTAAAATATCGTTGTTTTTCTTTCATAAGAGTAAAATTTAGATATTTTATTCCTTGTTTCTGCTGCATTTATATCCAGTTAAAGGGAGTGACCGGCTATGTAAGGTAGTTGAACTGAGTATGCAGTGTTGTTGAAAACTTCTTTCGGATTTATTTGAGACATATTAAATTTTTTAAAGATCAATACATCCTAAGTTTGAGCGCAAATTCGACGTTCAAAACTCCTACTTTCGGGGTGGATACGTTTTCAGAATTAGTTTTTTTTAAATTATGAAATAACGACGACATAAGATGTAAAAAAAGTTCTACAATAAACTACAGACGTCATGTATAGGAACATGTTGGGAAAATAAGAATTAAACTTATCATCGAAAATAAGTAATCTTGTTCAATTATTAGTTTCTATTTTCGCACTTTTCTGGTTTCTCATTATTCACAAAGATTTTCGCAAATTTTCTAGAATTATTATTGAAAAGACGACATTTGAAGAATTTGAAGAAATCTGCGAATAAATTCCAAGAAGATACGAAATTCAATATAATAATGAAAACGAAATAATGGATTTTAGCATTGATTTATTAACAAATTTCTTTTGAGAAATATTTTTTTAACCATCTAATTAGATTACTGTATAATTTTTACTTTTTCGTTGTCGTTATTTAATAATTAAAAAAACTAATTCAGAAAACGTATTCACCCCCAAAGTAGGAGTTTTGAACGTCGAATTTGCGCTCAAACTCAGGATTTACAGATCTTTAAAAAGTTTAATATGTCTCAACTTTTATTAGATTACGTAACTTTTATTAGATTACGTAACTTTTATTAGATTACGTAACTTTTATTAGATTACGTAACTTTTATTAGATTACGTAATTTTTATTAGATTACGTAATTTTTATTAGATTACGTAACTTTTATTAGATTACGTAACTTTTATTAGATTACGTAATTTGCAATTTCCCTGATTTTGGAGAATCCTTAGAACCCAATAAAAATTTTAAATACTAAAAACGGACAGGAGTGTATATTTTCTTGTCGGGTGAAACAACTTGCTTTTTGATGTAAAATCTTTCCTTTTACCCCCAGATCTTCAAAATATAATCACCCCCGGGAGGGGGGGGGATATTTCTCAAAAATATAAACCCCTGAAAACGGATTGAGCAGGATGCCTAGCCCTAGCTTGAACTCTCTATTCAGGCAAATCCTACCTTAGTTTAGAACTCCGACGCTTTCTAGAAAATTGACAAGTTTAAAGGCATTTACTACAACGTAGTGCCTGATGTGTTCATAGAGTTTTCAACTTTTATCAAGTTAGTTGATAGAATTATCTCTAATTTTGAGACGATATGTGTCAAAAAAAACGTAATCTCTTTTTAATATTTGTTTTCGAATATTTTTATTTTGAAATGAAGAGTTTCATAAGCAAAAAAAACTCAAAAACCAACCAAAAATGTGTTAAATATTCCACACAGATCCAATAACCCAAAAGCAAATATTTTTCACTTAAAAGTTCTGAAGAACTTTCTACATTTTACAAACCATTAAAAATATAAATGTAGTATAGTCTGATTCCGAAAAGGCCAATACCAAAATAAAAGGTCTGAAAAATTTTGAGTTCACAAAAACAAAACAAAACAAAACTCGTAACAAAATATGTTTTTCAAGAATTCCAAGATTTTGATATTTTAAAATATTTCAAATTGATTTTAAAGTAAAAAAGGAAAAGTATTTGTTTTCCCAATAGATCTCATTTTTTCTAGTTGTTCTTTATTAGTCAGGACCGCAAAAATTAGTTTTTCTCGTAGATATCAAAATACTAAAAAGGTGATAAAAAAATTTCCCAATTGTGATTCCATTATATTTCTACCCTACCAACATAGAGAGGGTATTTTCCAAATCAAGCTTTCATCGTAAATTCCATTATTCCACAGTGCTATGAGGTACCTCCAAAGGCAAGTTGAATTAAAGTAAGATTCACGTTAAAGATTGCACCAAAAATTGCATTTGTTCGATCAAAGTTATTCTTATTAACCCTATCTCTGCTGGGGTACTTGAAAACCAGGATATGCTGGGATTTGTAAACAGAAGTTCAAGAACAGTGTAAAGGCAAAGATCAAGCAAGTATATTTTGTAAACATCATTTTTCTCCCAGCATACATTTTTCAGTTTCAGTTTAGTTTTTTTCAGAATTAAAAAAAAACTACCAGAGGGGAAACATGAACATTTTCTGCGTACATATGCAAATTATGTAGAAAATGCCTGGAAATTTGGAATACACGGTAAGGAATTGTGTCTTTGCCACTAACTTTAATTTTTAAATCCCTATATCTTTGAAACCAAATCTCGGCAACCTTTAATATTTCAAACTGTGAATTTTGTTAAAATATCAAAATTCTACACCATCAGGTTTGTAAAGATTATAAAATTTCAGTTTGTGACTCAAAAACACAATTCTTTAGACGCGGATTTTAAGAAAATAAAAATAAGGGGTTGAGTAATTGATTGAACTTACCCTGGTTTGATTTTGCTGAATTTTAGTTTTCCTTCCTTCGTTGGTCCTTGCTGGACCGGCAGAGATTCAAGGTTGGCCTAAACAGGCAAATTATGCATAAAATATGCAGAGATTCAAGGTTGGCCTAATTAGGCAAATTATGCATAAAATAGGCAGAGATTCAAGGTTGGCTTAAACAGGCAAATTATGCATAAAATTTGCAGAGATTCAAGGTTGGCCTAAACAGGCAAATTATTCATAAAATAGGCAGAGATTCAAGGTTGGCCTAATTAGGCAAATTATGCATAAAATAGGCAGAGATTCAAGGTTGGCCTGAACAGGCAAATTATGCATAAAATATGCAGAGATTAAAGGTTGGCCTAAAGAGGCAAATTATTCATAAAATAGGCAGAGATTCAAGGTTGGCCTAATTAGGAAAGTTATGCATAAAATAGGCAGAGATTCATGGTTGGCCTAAACAGGCAAATTATGCATAAAATAGGCAGAGATTCAAGGTTGGCCTAAACAGGCAAATTATGCATAAAATAGGCAGAGATTCAATGTTGGCTTAAATAGGCAAATTATGCATAAAAAAGGCAGAGATTCAAGGTTGGACTAAACAGTCAAATTATGCATAAAATATAATCTGAACATAAATGCAATTTTTCAATTCGAGGGACTGGTTAGCGTAATTTCAGGTGACCCTCCATGCAAATATGGCAATGTCCGATTCACAACCATAGCTTTTAAACCCTTATCTGATCAACAATGTTGTTTTCTAGAATAAAAAGTGATTTACTCTGATAATTATATGATTTCCATGCAGTAGAAATGCGCAAGTCTATTTTGTAGAGATACCCTAATTGAAAAAAAAAATTTTAATGTAAATTATAATAAAATTATTATATAATAATATAATTATTATATAATAATGTAATTCTAAACATTGCATGATTGATACTCGATAAGACAAAGCTTTAAAGGTAACATTATAAATCGGGAATTGCCATCTATGCATGTCACTTGAAATTACACTTGTACAGTTCCTTTAAGACCAGACATGAAATGTGTTTTTCATTCCTAATTTTACATTTTACTGAAAAGGTAAAATTTTAAGATTAAATCAAAAGAATGGTTGGTGCCACTTAAAATCATATTTATTGTTTCAAGATTTAAGCCGGCGCTCAATTGAAACCGATTTTGGGCGAATTTGAGACGCGGCTCAAATTCATTAAACTCGGACTCTGGATTCGTAACACTGCTAATCCCTTCATAAATTTTTAAAATGTATATTTTATGGTTGGATAAATTAATTATATTCGAAGGGCAAAATATTAACAAAAAACTTGTTTAAAACTTTTTGCTCTTTAAACCCAAATCTGAACTGTTAACAAAATAAATATTATGAAAATGCTCTGAATGATTAATCAGGCATTAGCATAAATATAAGCGAAAAAGGAAAAAAAAATCTTATTTGTTGAAAAAAAATCAGAAAATCTTTAAGAAATGTTTATGCGTTGAATCCGGGTCCGGATTCATTTTTTGCCAGGGCGGATTCAGGATCCGGATCCATTTTTTGCCAGGGCGGATTCAGGATCCGGATCCATTTTTTACCAGAGCGGATTCAGGATCCGGATCTGCATCTAAAAAGTTTCCACCTATAGATGAACATTTATACAAAGTTATTTCAAGAATTATGAACTTATTTACTTTTAGTAGATTTATCGCCGCGTTCATTTCTTCAATGTAGAGACCTTCCATATCCTTGAGCACAAACTTGGGCATCAATCTCCGGTCCTGGAATTATAAGAACAAATTTGGTTACCAAATTCTCCATGGAGCAACTTCTATGGGAGTGGTGACTATTCGCCTTTCGAGTCCCCCTCCCCCTCGACACCAACTCCCAATTAAGGATTGTAAGAGGCAATTTTTGTCCATCATAAATAAGAAAGATACTTAATTTTTTAATCATTTTTTAATATCAGATGTCGATATAATTTGATTAATTTATTGATGAGAATAAGTGCATTTTATTGGGAAAACTAAAAATATCAAAATAACAACGAAACAAAAATGAAAATAATAAAAATCTCATCATTCGAATTTTTATGATTTCCTTTTTGTGAAATAGATTTGTTTTATTATTTTCTAAAATACAGCTACAACTTTGGATTGGAGTAAAAATATTCTAACCAGAAACCACTGTATAATTGCAATTATGCAAAAAGAATTGAATTCAAGTCACGCAAAACTAAATAGATCTAAGTAAGGCATCTAGTTTTATCAAAGATTTTATATAAAAAAAAACACTATGGACCTAATCCACTTTTTATTTAATAATATATATCGCCCAGCAAAAATTACATAATAGAGATTACGGAATTTATAAAATTTTATCGAAGAAATTTGGAACTGAGTTTTTGTCACACATTCAAATTTTCTAATTCCTATATCTTTTCAACCTGATATAATAGTGTCAACCTATGATATTTCAAACTTAGATTATTTGGTCTAACAGAATTCATAGTTTGAAATATCAAAGTAAAACGTCATCAGTAATTGCGAAGATGAATTAGAAGATTTACGTTTGTGGCAAAATCTCAATTCTTTTGTTAAAAAACCGAGAAATTTAATTCCAACTGAAAATTGCCTGTAAGTCAGGGAGACTATAAACAAACTCACGCTTAAAGGGACTGTCAGATTAATTTCAAGTGACCTTCCATTCCCCGATTCACAATGGTACCCTTTAAACCATTGGTCGATCCCTTAAGGACATAGAACTTTTATATTTTAAACTCTAAATATTATGATCTAGTTTAAAATATCAAAATTCTACATTCTACAATTTAGGTTTCAAAGATGTTGGGATGAAAAATTCATAAATTCCCAACTCTAAAGATTTGTTGATTTGTTTAAACTAAAATTTAAACCTTCTCCATAGATGCTACTTTCTCTCTCCTCGCGTCCAGTTCCCGTCGGATAGCTGCCGCTTGTTCATCCATAGAGTCCAGCTGAAATATCATAGTCATCGTCATCGTCATCGTCATCGTCATCGTCATCGTATATTTAAAATTTTCTAATCCCTTTATTTTTACATGGTAAACCTTTAATATATCAAATTTGATCAAACATAATTAATTTAAAGTTTAAACTCTCAAAGCCCAAAGGTCTATGAGTTATGAGTTTATGATCTCGCGTTGCAAAGATATATAGAGATTAGAAAATCAAAGTTTATGGCAAGAACTCAGTTTCTTTGAGCCCCGGATATGATAACTTTTAATTTTTATTAGTTCGAAAAATTGTTAATAAATTTATTTAATTTTACTAACTATCAATATTTATCTAGTTACTATGAATCTCTGTGTTGCAATATTGAAAATCAAGATTCCAGGACTATGAAAATATTATTGTTTGCTTTCTAAATAAAAGAATTCAACGTCTTTGGGTTATCTTGAATTGGACATTTTTCCAACGAGAAGACGTTTAAAAACATTACTGTCTCAAGCACAATCACAACTGGTTTAATTTGGATAAAAAACGAGCAAAAACAATAATTCGATTTTTAAGTAAGAACAAAGAAAATGACGTTTTGCTACAAAGGAATTGACTCTTTGCAACAAAATCTCATTTTCTAATCCCAATATCTTTGAATTCAAACGTCGTAAACCATTGAAACTTCAAACTATGACTTTTGTTAGATCAAAAAATATAAGTTTGAAATATCAAAGGTTTACGTATTGGGTTCCAAAGATATTGGTATTAGAAAATCAGAGTTTGTGGCAAAGAGTCAATTTCTTTATATTTTTTTATCTGTGTCAGTTTAAAACTAAAGAACGAAAAGTTACGATAATTAATTGTCAAGTTTCAGCTTAGTTTCCAATTCTGGCTTAATCTAAACCTGAATTTTAAGCTATGGCTAAAATATTTAACTCGTCGATATTGGTTAAAATTTAAAACATTAAGTTTTGCGACATCTAAATGCTTAGGTTCTATAAATCAATAAATCTTGGCCCAAAATCAGAAATAATTAAATACATCGTGTAGCCAGAAATATATTTTGGTTAGCGCTGCAGTTACGTCAGTTACGTTATAAACAAATTGAGTTTGTGGCTAAAACTTGATACCTTTGTTTTGGTGTATGATAATTGAAAAGGTTATTGAACTAGTGTAAATTTTGGGAAAACATATTTTTCGAGTGGGTCCATGAAAATAGAAAAAAAAACATTTTTATATGGAATAGAACAATGTTTAAATTATGTCCGGTAATTTCACCGTTTATATTTAGTTTACGAAAAAGCAATCTCCACATTTAAAAATAAAAAATTAATGGGAAAAAACTTTTACCAAAAACAAATTATTTAACATTCATTAAAAAGTTTTAATGGTGTAATCTTGATTCATGAATGTAGACGAAATTCAAAGTATCAAAAATAATCTCCCTTAAATTGGTTAACATTTTATTTAAAGGATTGTTCAACTTTTTAAAATTATTCTCGGGAACTAATTTAAATAATCATTCTCAATGCTAACTAATTCTTGAATACCACTCTTTTAGTAGCATTTTCAACTCCAACATTCTGGAGTATCATGTGCGTTGTAAAAAGATGAGCAGCCATTTATTAAATTTCACAAATTTGAATAATTATTTTCGACAATAAATTAATCTACAACATATATTTTTTTTCCCTTTTAAGAGATATAATCAACATAATTTCAGACTCAAGTCTTGACTTTTTTTAACCTTTCTTGAGAATAATACTATTAAGGTCCCATTCTCAAGCTAATGCAGAGTAGGGTTTGAAGCGAACTAAATGTTTCGCGAAAAAATGCAAAAAGGTTCATTCGCCTTTTGCAAACTTTTTCGCGAAATAGAATGAAGCGAAAAAACCTAAAACGATGAGAAATTTTGCGAATTCTTTTTTTTGTGAAAACCATAAGTGTTTCAGCTTCAACAATTAAATGCACAAAAAAACTTTTTTTGTGAAATTCTAGGGTTTTTTTGGAAATTTTTCGCATTATTTTTTTCGCGAAATTTTTACATTTACTATTCCTCGAAAATTTCGCATTCTTTTATCGAAACAGATCTAAGCTAAATTTTGCGAGAAAAAAAAATGTTTCGAAAAATGCAACGATTTTCCTTTCCGCTGCAAACCCTACCATGACTTTGCTTCGCGGTTCGGGGCAACTGGGTGACCGTTCAGGCATCAATTAACGACTAATTCCAATTAATTTAAGTTCTTATTAAACGTTGTGTCACGTCAAACTAAAGTAAATTTCCCGTAAGAACAGAATTTTCAAAGTTTCTTTTTCCTACATGAGCGCAAAATAAAAACTAGAGGAGCTACGAGGTCGAAAAGTAATGTTGCAAAAAACTTGTCCTTCTCCTTCTGTTTGAATATGTTGTGTAATGTGTACCTGCATTGCATTATACAGAAGCTGATGCTCGAACTTTTTAATGTTTAAAATCTGCTGGAAGAGGTCATACAGTTGTTCCTTGGTCATCACCTAGAATTTCATTATTATAGCACTTCTTTTCGAGTTTATACCAAAAACTCTAATTTACTAATCCCTATATCTTTGCAACCAAATGTCGTAGAATTTTGATACTTCAAAATATGACATCAAGTAGTCTGAGTTTAAAATATTAAAGGTTTAAACCGTCAGTCTGCAAAGCTTTAGGGATTAGAAAATTAGAATTTGTGGCAAAAGCTTTTAGAATAATTGTCTCTTATAAAAATATTCGTGAACAGGCTGAACCCCTTTGTTTCATGCATAACACAAAAACCAATTTTCATTTTCATTAGTATTTCTTTCAGATTCTGAATCTGTTCTGAACACCAAGGATTTTATCGAGAATACGATATTAATTAAATACATTCTCCACACAATCTTTGTCAAAAGTTTTAACCTTCAAAAATATTTGACGCAGTTAGGATCTTAAAAAGCTCCTTTGATGTGATTTTTCAGAAATATTAAACAAAAATGTGTTAGCTAGGAAAATAATCAAATTTTGAAATTTTATATCTTTAGAACCTGGTCCTGGATATTTGATATATTACATGAAACAATCAAAGTTTGATACAAAGGTTTACACCATCAGGTTGGAAAGAAATAACATAAAATCTAAAATTTATCTTAAAATTAAAAAATTGTCTGACCTCGTTACCAAGCATCGAGGTCGGCAGCCTCTGTCCAGGTCGTCTTTGCTCGTCATCTGAAAAGCAGAAAATGAAAGAATTCATGAAATAAAGAAAAACAAAAGTTTATTCATCCTATGAGCAGTGAGCACAAAAGGAGATTGGTAATTTTATTAAAAAAAAATTTTGATGCTTGAATTTAACGCTATCTTTTTCTTTAAAAAAAATGTTAGAACTTATAAATCTAAGACAAGAAATAGCAAAACTTATGAATTCTCAGAAAAATGCTAAAAAAAACTCTGGTTTGGGCTTAAATATTTTTTTCTGAATAATACTAAATAATAAAATTTCCGGTTTCCCAAAAAAAACTGCAGTCTGCGTGGATAAAATGCTTTTAGGTATAATTTGAAATATATTTCTTTTGCCATGTATTGAATTCAGTTATTGTGAAAATGTAAAATACAGCCTAGGGCGGGGGGGAATTTACCTTTTGTTATAGCATCATACTTAGCAAGCCAGCTGGTCATGACAGTATCTTTACTTAGTCCGTCAATCTCAGGGATAGTTCGAATTCTCTGCAAGAACAAAATATTGGATATTATTTATGATAATAAATAAATCATTAATTTGTTTATGAACCTTATTTTCTTACAAATAAATAAGTTAATTTTAACCTTCTCTATCTGATGTCGGAAGACCTCCCTACAGTCGTGTTGACTTAGACCTCCGCCGCACACTAGGCCGGTCACACGTTCAGACTTAATTATAAGATCACACGTTCAAACATAATTAAAGGTCACACGTTCAGACTTAATAATTAGGTCCCATGTTCAGACTTAATAATAAGATCACACGTTCAAACATAATTAAAGGTCACATGTTCAGACTTAATAATTAGGTCCCATGTTCAGACTTAAAAATAAGGTCACTCGAACTTTCAGACTTATAATTATAATTAATTAAAATATTAGATTATTATTTAAGCAAATGTTCACAATGACAAAGAAAAGAAATTGATTGTTATTTCAAGCTAGGTGTAAATCAATACGGCTAGTTCAACTTCCTCTCTGTGCCCCCCAAAATCAACCTAAACCAATGCAAAAGAAAAAGTTGCGCTATTTAAAATTAATAAAAAAGTTTACCTTTAGGAATATATCGTTGTAACAGTGCACCGCGTTCTGAAAAGCCTCGTCGCAAGGAATTTGTGTTTCCCCTCGCAGAAAACTCTACAGAGTACAGCGAATATTAAAATTACATTTTTTATTCAATAAAAGTTTAAGACTTGACCCCTTTAACCATGTAAATTCACTCTATAATCCAAAAACTATACCAAATTAGTTTTAGAGACTTTCCCAAAATTTAAACTTGCAACTGCATTATCAATATTCTGTATATATATTACATCGACCAGAAATAAATATATGACAGTTGTTGATTCCAATCAGATTTTTTATGCCTTTTTGAGTTTTTACGAACACTCTCTTTAAGATTAACTTACATCAACTTTAGATCGAAGTTTATCCAATCCTTCTCTGGAAACTTTCTGGTGTCTTTTGGACATATCGTTCGGCTGTTTGGCATTAAATGGATAAGATATGGCTCTAAAATAAATGATACAATTATTGTTATTGATTAACTTTTAGATGTAAAAACAGAACTTAATTCTTAATCATCTTGTTTACTAATATAATTTAAAGAAATTGAGTCTTTGCCACAAACTCAAATAATCTAATCTCTATATCTTTATATCTAATTTGTTTGAAATCTTTAATTTTTTAAACTAAGATTATTTGATTTAACAGAATTTTTTTTTAGATCTAAATATTTATTTTGTAGCAGAGATTAAGATATTACAATTGTATTACAAGTTTACAACTTTCATAAATGGAAAAACTACAATTAAATGGATAAGATATGGCTCTAAAATAAATAATACAATTATTGTTATTAATTAACTTTTAGATGTAAAAACAGAACTTAATTCTTAATCATCATTAAACAAGGAATTGAGTCTTTATATCTATTTTGTTTAAAATCTTTAATTTTTCAATTTAACAGAATTAAGACATTGAAGTGTGGCAAAGTTTCAAATCCTTTCAAATGGTGACATTTTCTGCTTTTTTAATTAATTTAACTGAAATGCTATAGATTCATAATTATAAATTTATACATTAAGCATACATGCACACGTTTGGATTAGTGAAGTTTCATTGAAACAATTTTTATTTTGAGATTTTGAAGTAATTCAACTCCTAAAGCTAAAATAGGGATATAAATATGATAAGAATGTTTAGCCCACAAAGCTATCCTGCTTATATATATTGCCTTCCTCATGCACATTATTTTTATATCATTGGCTACCTATTCAGATGATCTTTAAAAATCCGAAACTGATAAATTATAAACTTTTATTCCGCTCTAAATGTAATTTACCTTAAAACAAAGACATAAAGTTGAATTCTAGTTTTCCTCTCCTCCTCTTCCTTCTGCTGTTTCTCCACAACCTCGGCCTCCGTCAGCGTCTTCTCACTGACCAGAGAGGGGGAGGGGGAGCCTCGTCCATCATTTCTCTGTCCTCTACCATCCTGGCCTCGACCTAATCCTCCCCTCATCATGTTTCCGTCCATAGACATCGGGGAGGGGACCCGGGGAGGTCCACCATTTTGCTGGAGACCTAGAACCAGTTTTTTATCAGACAAGATCAAAATTTAAGAAAAAAGATGTTCAATCTTATATTAAACGAAAAACTAGAAATTACGAGAAAAACTAATCATATTAAAAACACCAAAAAATAATGCAAAAACTAGAAAACAAGACACAAATAAAAACTAGAAATGAGTAAAAAAAATTAGAAAAAATTATGACCAAAAATGTAGAAAAATCTTAGACAAAATCATAACTTTGTGCAAAATTTGCTATTTAAGTGAAATAAAATACCAGTTAAAAAAATAACTTCAATTGTTAATTTGACATGATCCTTTGAAGCTAAACGTTAATAATAAAGGAAACTGTTAAAGTTTACCATTCTTCAAGCCTCCTGGAGGCTCTAGGAAGGAACTGGTTCCATGGTTCCCTGTACTAGAGGGAGGCACCTAGATAAAATATAATAAAGTGAACTGGTTCCATGGTTCCCTGTACTAGAGGGAGGCACCTAGATAAAATATAATAAAGTGAACTGGTTCCATGGTTCCCTGTACTAGAGGGAGGCACCTAGATAAAATATAATAAAGTGAACTGGTTCCATGGTTCCCTGTACTAGAGGGAGGCACCTAGATAAAATATAATAAAGTGAACTGGTTCCATGGTTCCCTGTACTAGAGGGAGGCACCTAGATAAAATATAATAAAGTGAACTGGTTCCATGGTTCCCTGTACTAGAGGGAGGCACCTAGATCACTATGTTTATATTTCATTTAGGTACTTCTCTCTAGAACAGGGATCCATGGAACCAGACATAGAGTAATAAAACGAAGAGGTAAAGCTAACCTAAGATGTACACAACCGACCTCCCTTTTAATTAATTAATAGAGAGGACGGTTGTGTACATCACGATATGTTTACGTATCTAACACTGTACACTTGTATAGAGTGTGATCGTATTTCTTTGGGGTGGTAAAATGTAGATAATTGAAAGTTAGTATTGATAATTAAATAGACAATTAATATGGATTATAAACACAGGATTGTATACTGCAGTACATTCCAGTTCAGTTGTTTGTTTATGTTAATAAAAGTATGAACAAATTTTGCATCGTGAAAAAGTGCAAAAACAATTCTTGTTATACCTAATACCAAAACATTGTGCATGGCTAACCCTTTAGACTTCACCATATATCCCTCAAGTTGTATTTGCTCAAACCATTTAAAGAATGAGATATTAGTCAGCGGAAAAACCAAGTTTGAAGAAAAATGCAACACCATTGCTCTCAACTTTAGGTTAGTATAAAAATGTATTGTTTAACTTATAATGTTTTAATATTTAACATAATTTAAAAAAAGAAGTCGCAATTAAAGATGCGTGCGCATCATTTTTTGTTCATTTTTTTATCATTTGTTAACTACCCATCCAGTTTCTTTTTTCAGTACTTCATTATAAGTTTGAATTTGTTTGTTCACAGAATAACAGGCGCGCAACTAGGAGTGGCAAAGGGGGTGGCAACCGCTCCCCCCCCCCTTAAGAAGAGTTGAAGAGAAGAAAGAATAAAAATGTTTGAAATAAGAATGTTATTAAAGTTTTAAGCTAAAGGCATGCCCATTGAAACTTAATATTTTTGACAGAACTTTTAGCTAATAAATTGAAAACCTACAAATTTGAAAATTGTCAAATGTTTGCAGTCAACATCAAGAAAATCTGAAAATTTGTCGATTTCATAAAACCCCCTCTAGAAATACGATCACACTACATACAAGTGACTGGGGAACGGAGAGTTAAAGAGACTGGGGGAAAGAAGGAGAATTAAAGAGACTAGGGGAACGGAGAATTGAAGAGACTGGGGAACGAAGAATTAAAGAGACTGGGGTACGAAGAATTAAAGAGACTGGGTAAGGAAGAATTAAAGAGACTGGGGGAACGGAGAATTAAAGAGACTGTGGGAACGGAGAATTAAAGAGACTGGGGGAAGGAAGAATTAAAGAGACTGGGGGAACGGAGAATTAAAGAGACTGGGGGAACGGAGAATTAAAGAGACTGGGGGAACGGAGAACTAAAGAGACTGCGGGAACGTTATTTCAATTGACCCTCCATTTAATGAGTGACATGCGTGTCCAATTCACTACGTTACCCTATAAACATTTGTCTGATCAAAGATAAGAACTATTCTTCTTGTATTCTCTCAGAAAATATTTGTTTTTTGTAAAAGGGAGTTGCACATTTAAGCTTTCAGAGACATTGAAGGAAATAATATGAATGTAACATATTACAGAAAAGAAAACCGATCATAATTTCCTCGTTGTTACTTAGACTATTAAAGCGTACTGTTGTGAATCGGACATGACACTTTCTAAATGATGAATCGCTTGAATTTACGTCTATAATTCCTTAATAAGCGATTTATTTAAAAAGTAAAAATGAAAACTCACAACGTCCTCCTCGTCCTCGCTTGAACTTGGCTCTAACATCCTCTTTTAGCTACAAAATAGTAAACATCATTATTTCATTTTTGAAATCAGAAATTTTTTAAGTAATTTTTTGATTTCACAATCATTAATTTACATAGTTTTTAAAGACATTTTGTTGATTAATATTCATATTTTATATAAAATGTTTTTATATAAAATGTTTTCATAGGGTACAAAGTTTTTTTTCGATATTAATATTTGTAAATCAATTCAATTTTTAACAGTTTCTATCGTTGGTTTTGTGCTAGAGTTTTTGTTATTATACAATTTAACAAAGATGCTCCTTATAGTTTAATAGTATTAGAACTATTTTTAGTATTACTAATACTATAATAATATTAGAACTATTTTTAGTACTAATACTTTAAGACCTACTTTCTTTGTCATTTAAATCAAAGTAATGTTTAGAAGGTACACTTTCTGCATTAATATCAGAGCACTCCCTTTAAATGTAAGAACCACCCCTTTAAGTAAAAAAATATATTTTTCGACATAAATTCGTGATATTCTTTTTTGATTCTCTAATCGCATGATTGGTATAAAAAATAAATGGGAAAAAATAAAAATAATCAAATTTTAATTTTTTTTGAGCAGTTTATTATTGTTCTCACCTTTATAAATTTAGTTGTAGTTGAGAGAAAACAAATATGATCAACACTAGCGCAGAGATCATAAAGTCTCTGAAAACAATATTATTTGTTATTAATTAATAAGTTAAGTTTTCATCCTAACTAATATTAACACCTGTTAACCCCGTTGTTTAATTCCTTTTAGACTCATGTAGAATTAATGACAATTGCTTTTTTAGTTTGAATGTAAAAGACATTTTTCAAATCTTCTAGTTGTGTAATCTAAATTTTAGTTTATTGTATAGTTTAAAAAATAAAAATAAAAAAATTACTTATTTGTTATGAAATTTTTTCTCAAAAATTAAGCATGGCGTTACAATTAAATCTAAGTGCTAAAATTTCATGTTAAGTCAAGTCCCAAGGGACAATCCATAGGCGCAACTGGGGGGGGGCGGCCGGGCGCGCGCCCTCCCCTAGCACCTGAGAGGGGGGGCGCGCCCCCCCCTTTACCCGTGTATGTAAGTATAAAAGAGGAGATGTAAAGGGTTTTAATCATACTCATATGAAACTCCTCTACGGAATATCTGCACTCCTCCTACCAGCTTGCTTGGTATTCCTTCATTTTGTCTTTTACCTCAACAAAAATCATATTTTCTAATGAACCAGCGTAATGGGAAAATCGTTCCAGGAAAAGTTTGCATTTTTCGTGAAATTTTTTTATTTCGCAGATTATTTCGCATTTTCCAGCATTTCGTTCGTAAATATAGCAAACATTTCCGCTTTTTTCGCGCCTGTTTAGCGAATATTTTCGCTTAAAACTGCGGCTACAGTTTCTCTAATATTTTTGAAAATCCATCCAAACGAATGGAATTCTTCAAAATGGAAAGGAAAGAACTATACTTTTTAAATTTAATTTTTAAGGTTGCCGAGCCTGGAGACAACTCAATTCAAGTAATTGTTTTAAACTCTCATAAAACAAACATGATTTTTTAGTTTTTTTGTTGGTTCAAAAAAATTTGGGAAACTAAAAAAAATGTTCAGTATACAATCAGTAAAGAAAAATTGAAGCGATTTTTAGTTGAAAAAGGAAGATTTATTTTTATTGATGTTGTCAAAAATAAACATGCACTTAACCTATTGGGTGTAATTCTTAACATTACAATTGAGAAATGACTCAAATATCGACTTTTTAAAACTCAGAATTTTTTAAATTATAGTCTTGACAATTAATAGATATTTGAACTAGTATGAATTGTCAGAGATGGATTCAACACCTCAAATTTATGCAGGTATAGTTTTTCTTCATATTTATCATCAAATTTAAAAATTATATTTTGGGGAAATTTTATTTTTGTAGTTTCCCTCGACCCTTTAAATCATTTTCCTCCAGTTCATTGTCAATCTTTTTGCAAAATTAAATGAAACTAATTTTAG